GTCCGTCGAAATTTGGGCGGTGCTGCAGTCCCATCAGCGATGCCAAGTTGACTGTCGGTATATCGAAGTGTTGAAGTGCTTGTACAGTAGGGCTACGATGGCTATCCGAGTACAGAACCAGAGTACGAAACCTATCCAATTTTAGAGAGGTGTAAGACAGGGTGACGTCATATCCCCGAAACTCTTCACCGCCGCATTGGAAGATGTTTTCAAGCTTCTCGACTGGAAAGGATACGGTATCAACATCAATGGCGAGTACATCACTCACCTTCGATTTGCCAACGATATAGTCCTTATGGCAGCATCGCTGGAGGACCTAAGCACTATGCTCAATGACCTCAATAGTGTTTCCCAACGGATAGGTCTTAAGATGAACATGGACAAAACAAAGATCATGTTTAATGTCCACGTCACACCTATGCCGGTAGTTGTTGGGAACACTAAGCTCGAAGTTGTTGATGAGTATGTTTACCTGGGACAAATAGTCCGACTAGGTAAGTCCAACTTCGACCGAGAGGTCAATCGACGGATTCAACTCGGTTGGGCAGCGTTCGGAAAATTACGGCACATCTTCTCGTCAGGTATACCTCATACTTGAAAACGAGACTGTACACCCAGTGCGTGTTGCCAGTGATGACATACGGAACTGAGACGTGGTCCTTCACTGCTGGCCGGATGAGGAAGCTCAAGGTCGCTCAGCGAGCTATGGAGAGGGCTATGCTCGGAGTTTCTCTGCGTGATAAACTCAGAAATGAGGATATCCGCAGTAGAACCAGAGTGACCGACATAGCCCAACGGATTAGTAAGCTGAAGTGGCAATGGGCCGGCCATATAGCTCGAAGATCCGACAACCGATGGGAAAGAAAGGTTCTCGAGTGGCAGCCTCGTACCGGCAGGCGAAGTGTAGGGCGTCCCCCCACTAGATGGAGTGACGACCTGGTAAGATATGCAGGAAGTCGATGGATGCAGGTGGCTCAGGACCGTGCTTTGTGGCATTCTTTGGGGGAGGCCTATGTTCAGCAGTGGACTTGTGAAGGGCTGTAATGATGATGATGATTATATTATTTATTTTATAATTATAATATTAGAATGCTTAAAACAATGATTTAATTTAATTATATATTAATAAGAATAGATTATTTACAATAGATATAAAAATGATATATTATGCAATGTCATTATAATATGCCTACTACTTTTTTCAAAGTATATTTATATTATTTTGGAAAAAGCTTGGAAGCGACCACCTCATTCCCGAGGGCTATTATTAACCATATATTCATTTATATTATTATAACCCTTTTTATGCAGTTTCAGCTTAACAAAACATTGAAGCTTGGAAATTGAGAGAGCCTGTACACTTTCCGGGACCTTGTTCTAATACATTGCGCCAAGAATGAATTACTGACTCTGTGAAGTCGAGAAACTGGTATCACTAGCTTGTGTTTGTTCCTAGTGTTTACAGAGTGTATATCACTTTTTTACTAAACAGCCTTTGTTTTTGTGAACATACATTAAATTTTCGTAAATATACGGAGCGATCAATGTTAATATAAATGTATTTAGTTCTTTAAATTTGTCTCTAAGAAACTCTCTCGGTTTTAGGTTGTAAATACCTCTACTGGCCCTCTTCTGTAAAACAAAAATAGTTTCTGAATCAGCCGGATTTTCCCATAGCGAATATGCTACTGAAATAACTAATTTTTAATATGAACTGAAATAAACTAATTTAGCTGTATCGACACTAGGGAGAGCTCTACTCTTTTTTACAGCATAGGCTGCAGAACTTAGTCTGCTTGCTAGTTTGGATATATTATGGGGGCCCCACTGAAGCTTTCCGTAGAGAGTGATGCCAAGAAAAACAGTAGATTCTACAAGGCTCAGTTCTTCCCCATTTAAAAACACATTAGTATTCAGGTTTTTAATATTCGATGTTGTAAATTTAATACATTTAGTTTTATTTCCGTTTAAATGTAGATTATTAATGTTAAACCAATTACCACTAATTTTGATATAGCATTATTCACTTCGTCATATTTAAATGATTGACGTTTAAGTTTAAAAATCAAGGAAATATCATCAGCAAATAATACTACATCATGATTATCCCCTACAAGGGAAGGTAAGTCATTAATATACACCAGAAATAGGAAGGCTGAAATTCGAGCCCTGAGGGACACCCATTAGTACAGGTGACCCGGAACCCGGACCCTTTTGCCATGGATAATAACTTTCTGTATTCTATTACTTAAATATGAAATAATACGTTTAAGCGCCTTGTTCTTGACACCATAGTACTGTAGTTTCCTGATTAATCTCTGATAGTGAACACAGTCGAAGGCCTTGAAAAGGTCACAAATTATACCCAAAGCATCCTCTGAATTCTCCCATGTATTTTTCCCATGTCATCGCTATACACAATTATATTATTTTTGTTAATATTTCAATTATTTTTATTTTAATCTCCTCTGCTATGGCACTGTTATAAAGTTTTGGTGGTGGTGTAATGTTATTATCAGCACACACCGACTCTGAAGAAGCTGCATTGAATGCTGACACTCACATTGATGTTTAACTAAGGGGTCAAATCGCTCCTCATTATATTTTACATGTCTTTACCAGATTATCCATAGCCAGTGGGTTGATTTATATTTATTGGATTTGAAGGGTCTACATCAGTCTCATAGCATTTTTTTATGTTATCCTCAATTGAATACAACTTAAGTTCATATATCAATGATTTCTTTCTTTACATACATTAACATAATTATGGTATTAATCTAATTTTTTTTTTGATTCACAATTCGTCGTTGAGGCCGCTAAGGGGCGAACCTCAATTTTTCAAAAAATTACAGGAGAGCAATAAAACATTTATTATTCCCCGTGAATTATGATATTAATAATGGAATGAAAGATCAACACGTTTGTTCAACTCGAGTGTTTATTTAATACTGGCTTAATTTCTAATACTCGTACATCGAATATCACCTACAAGTACATAGGTTACTTCACCCGATTACTAGCTCTTTTTCATCAGAAAATAAAATATATTAGACTTAATGGAAAACTACAAATAAGATTAATTTTATGATGAAAAAAAAAACTAGTAATCGGGGAATAATAAATGTTTTCTTGCTCTCCTGAATTATTTTGAAAAATTGAGGTTCGCCTCTTTGCGGTGTTAGCGAAGAATTGTACCCGATAGTCGAGATTCAGAAATCACCCGTGAGAAGCCGGGGCGAATCGCTTGTAATATATTAAGTTCGTATATTATAATATAATGCACAAACATATGAGTTATTATTTTAATAAATTCAATTCATGTGAAATCACTTCTGGTTTGTTGAATGTTTATATGAATTCGAGACATATGTTATTGCTCACCTGAACTTCTGCACTTATCTATAAGGTATCTTAAGATGCAGTCACATTGAATATCTTTGTAACAATGAAATCTTTAAATATTGTTTGCTTTATAACTGAGTTCAATAAAGAAGAGGGTTCTATATTCTATACATACGGTTTTATAAGTATGTTTACCGATATCTTACAAACGGCTGAACCGATTTAAATTATTGTTTTATTAAATAAGTTATACTATAAATCCATCCATTCATTACAGTCCTTCACAAGTTAACTGTTGAATATAGGCCTCCACAAATAAATTATTTTATAATATAATATATTAATAAAATTCTACCACTAAGAGGGGAAAATGGGGTATTAAATTTTATTGTGACTATTTAGACGAAATTTTATTTGTCGCTAAAACTTGTAATATTCCTTAGTCCAATCCAAAAGTTAAATAGCTAAAATAATTAATAGAATCAGGCATTACTGTGCAGAAATCCATTATAATGTGTTTAGTTATAACTTATTTGCTTAATTCCACGTAAAGAAAGAAAATAATGTGTCCTGCCCAGTTTTAAGGGAACCTCCCACATTCCCTCAATTACGTGCACTATACCCGTCACTGTCAATCCCAGCACCACCACCCTCAGCACCACCACACTACGGGCAGGATACATCATGTTCTTTCTTTACGCGGAATTAAGCAAATTAAGTTATAACAATTTCATTTAATGGTTAAAGTTTAATAACAATGTAAACTGACTTCAAAAACCATAAAAAAGCAAAATAATTTCCACATAATAGCTTCTAGGACATTACAAAATAAGGACGATTTTGGTTTGGTTTTTTTTGGCATTGCCATTAGTGGAAAGTACGTATACATCTGGCGTAAGAAAATCCACTACGCCATTGTATCCTGTGGGTGTCGTGTGAAGCTGCAGAGGAAAACTGAAACAGAAAAGGGATAAAAACCTACCAACCCGCCTGCTAATGATGGCATCTATGGCCAATATCTCCCTTATAAGTCAATTTATGAGGAGGGCTATGCTTTTTTGCAGTGAACATGTGTTTTAATAATTAATCGATTAATTAATTATTTAAGAAACAATATCGGAATGTATACCCAAAGTTGGATTAAGCCATGTAAAGTCACCTAGACAATGTCTTCTCCCTGTTTTCAACATACTTTACGTGAAAATATAATATTTTTAAAGGCATGGTTTTTTAGCATATCGGCGGTCAAAGGCAAGAAAAACTTTGCTCGAAGCGAATCTGGTCCTGTGAGGTTTAGCCGAAGAAGACGTCCTACATACATTCCACGGCCACTAATTTAAGAAGCCACCAAAATAATCACAAGTAGACCGTGTGAACACATCCCTATTATAAACAAACTTTTCATTACTCGATTCTTAGGTAAAATCGACGTCAGTACGAGTGTGTATACCAGAACTAATTTGTCGTTTTCATATAACTACAACCTTTATTGAAAGAAGTGAAAAAATTCAAGACTTCAATTAATCTAAGGACTTTTAAGTGAGAAGTTCAAACCTTTTTAATAATGCAAACATCACAATCGTGATTTAAAAAAAAACATCGACAATTATGTAATAAATAATTATTAATATTTTCTAATAAAAATATACTTCATAATGTGGGGAATATTCCTCGTAGTTTTAAGTTTAATACTTGACAGTCAATCTGCTCTTAATGTAAAACAAAAGGCGGAATGTGGATACAAGGTATGTATATAAATATATTATTTATAATGGATGAGTTATTTACTTGATAAATGGATGTGATACGTATCAATAAAAAAAGGTATATTAAAATGTATATCAGACATAATAACTGATTCAAAACAAACTTTACTAGATCTTTTCTGGCTAGATTAGTCTGTAAGGTCCTTACGTATTTCTGCCGCAAACACCAGTAAGTGCATTGTTGTGTTCCGATCTGAAAAGTTAAAGTTAAAGTAAAGTTACAGTCTAAATTTCTCCCTCTATTTCTGAGAGGGTGTATAGAGCAAGGAAATTATCCGCCGCGCTGCCCCAATGCGTGTTGGCGAACTTCACGTCTTCGAAATATATGTTTTATGTCTCAGTCATACAGGTTTCCTCATGGTGTTTTCCTTCACCCCTGAGCACGTCAAAAATTAACACTTAGAATTGCAATTAAAAAATGTATTGGTGTCGGTGGGAATCAAACCCATGCTTCTGTACGTTCGCATGTACTGTGAAAGTTAGGGCGAGCGCTGAGCCCATAAACTGTAACTGCTCATTTCATTCATTCGTTCATCTTCTTTTTCCCCTGTTAAAACCTTGCCTCCACACTAGGATTTTCTCCCGTTTACATACATAAATCTTACAAAACCCGGAACAATGATTTGTAGGCTCAGCGCCGCGGCTTATAAACCACCGCCACACGGAGCCGTCATAAAATTAAATTATTTAAATGTCGTCCCCATACAGCAATGTCCTCAAACTCGAGACGGTGCTTTGAACGTGCATCTCATACCTCACTCTCACATGGACGCCGGCTGGGTTAAGACATACGACGAGTATTATTATGGAAGTAAGTGCCAACTCTTAATACTGTTGGTTATAGAAAGAAAGAAAGAAAACTTTATTTGACATCACAAAAAAAAGATAAATAAAATAACACGAGATATAAAAAACAGGATTTGTGTAAAGTCAAATTAGGTCCCTATTTCAGCTAACAGCTGCTGAACTAGACGACAGCAGCGCTGATTTTCAAATAGAGGCTAATATTGGCTTCACGGACGGTCATACATTACCTAAAGCTAAAACATAAAGAAAAATATTCAGTGTGGGGACAGAATCAGCATAATAAGAGTTATTATTTGGAAATAATAATACATTGTTTAAGCAATCATAAACATACACTTACATATGAACCCATATATATCATGATATATAATATACTAATAGTAAGTTCTATACATCTATACACACTTATATGTACACATACATGATCAAGTGCTCATTGAGCACTTGATCATGTATGTGTATACACTGGGTTGGCTCGACCGGAGTAGAAGCACTCTCTCACCAGAATACCAAAGTAAAATAGAAGATTAACGCTGTGTTTCGTATGGTGAGTGTAGAGAGCCGGAGACCCTTTTTACTGGAAACGAGGCATTCCATCTTAGTCCTCATGGGTGACAATCTATATTTTATGGGCTTCAGCATTCACTTACCATCAAGTGGACTGTGTGTTTGTCACCATATTTCTCTAAAGAAACATATATCAACTTTCTCGCTCTCACCGTGTGATGGTGACGTAAGGATTCATCACCCTATTTCGTCTCGTACATATCGCAAGAGGCGACTATAGTACTAGGCCAAGTCTCAACGGATCTGTCTGCACAAGACTGGATTAAAGTACACGAGTGTGTGCATAACCACAGGACCAGATAGAGATCGCAAGGGTGAAAACTGGTAGCGATCACCGAATGGTTAGAGGCACACTGAACCTAAACGTTAAGTTGGAGAGGTCTCGTCTAATGAAGTCAACGCTCCGTCCCCCTCGTGCTCTAATCCAAAGTCCCGAAACCTTTCAGCTCGAGTTACAAAACCGTTTTCAGTGCCTAGAAGACTGCAATGAAGTGGACGATATGAATGACAAGCTCGTGGAAACTGTCCATGCGGTCGGAGCTAAGTTCTGCAAGACCCGCCGCAGAAGAACACAAAAACTCTCCGATCACACTCTTAATCTCATGGCTGTTAGACGGGAGATGAAGCTACATTCTTCAACAGACTTGACAGCATACAGGCATCTGAACAGACAGATCTCCAAATGCATGCGGCGGGACTTACGCAACTTCAATACAGCTCGTATTGAAGAAGCGATCGAGCGGAACCAAGGCTCCAAAGTCTTTGTCAGAGATCTGTCTCCCAGAAAGAGCCAACTGTCGAAGCTGAAGACAGAATGTGGCAGCATCGTTTCCGGGACACCTGAGATTTTGAGTGAGATTGAGAGGTTCTATGGGCAGCTGTACACGTCATCGTTGGAGCCACACGCAAGTGTGAGTAACGATCCAAGAGCGAGTCTCATCCGACACTATTCCGAAGATATCCCGGACGTTAGTCTGAGCGAGATTAGAATGGCTCTCCAGCACCTTAAAAACGGTAAGGCCCCAGGCGAGGATGGAATTACAGCGGAGCTTCTGAAAGCGGGTGGAAGACCGGTACTTGAAGTCCTTCAGAAGCTCTTTAATTCCGTCCTCCATGGTGGCATTACACCGGAGGCGTGGAGCAGAAGTGCGGTGGTCTTGTTCTTCAAGAAAGGTGACAACGCTCTCTTGAAGAACTACAGACCGATTTCCCTTCTGAGCCGCGTCTACGTGCTGTTTTCGAGAGTCATTACGAATCGTCTCGCGCGCAGACTTGACGACTTCCAGCCTCCCGAACAAGCCGGTTTCCGAAAGGGCTTTAGCACCATAGACCACATACATACCCTTCGGCAAGTTGTACAGAAGTCCGAAGAGTACAATTTGCCACTATGTCTGGCGTATGTGGACTATGAGAAAGCCTTTGATTCCGTCGAAATTTGGGCGGTGCTGCAGTCCCTTCAGCGGTGCCAAGTTGACTGTCGGTATATCGAAGTGTTGAAGTGCTTGTACAGTAGGGCTACGATGGCTATCCGAGTACAGAACCAGAGTACGAAACCTATCCAATTGCAGAGAGGTGTAAGACAGGGTGACGTCATATCCCCGAAACTCTTCACCGCTGCATTGGAAGACGTTTTCAAGCTTCTGGACTGGAAAGGGTACGGTATCAACATCAATGGCGAGTACATCACTCACCTTCGATTTGCCGACGATATAGTCCTTATGGCAGAATCGCTGGAGGGCCTAAGCACTATGCTCAATGACCTCAATAGTGTTTCCCAACGGATAGGTCTTAAGATGAACATGGACAAAACAAAGATTATGTTTAATGTCCATGTCACACCTATGCCGGTAGTTGTTGGGAGCACTAAGCTCGAAGTTGTTGACGAGTATGTTTACCTGGGACAAATAGTCCGACTAGGTAAGTCCAACTTCGACCGAGAGGTCAATCGACGGATTCAACTCGGCTGGGCAGCGTTCGGGAAGCTACGACACATCTTCTCGTCAGACATACCTCAAAACCTTAAAACGAAATTGTACAACCAGTGCGTGTTGCCAGTGATGACTTACGGAACTGAGACGTGGTCCTTCACTGCTGGCCGTATGAGGAAGCTCAAGGTCGCTCAGCGAGCTATGGAGAGGGCTATGCTCGGAGTTTCTCTGCGTGATAAACTTAGGAATGAGGATATCCGCAGTAGAACCAGAATAACCGACATAGCCCAACGAATTAGTAAGCTGAAGTGGCAGTGGGCCGGCCATATAGCTCGAAGAACCGACAACCGATGGGGAAGAAAGGTTCTCGAGTGGCAGCCTCGTACCGGTAGGCGAAGTGTAGGGCGTCCCCCCACGAGATGGAGTGACGACCTGGTAAGACATGCAGGAAGTCGATGGATGCAGGTGGCTCAGGACCGTGCTTTGTGGCATTCTTTGGGGGAGGCCTATGTTCAGCAGTGGACTTGTGAAGGGCTGTAATGATGATGATAGAGATCAAGCACAGGGCCAGACAGAAATGAGGTGCAGGAGCCACGGTTATACGTGATCTATGAGACACAAGGATTACACAGCTAACTTCTTTACTGTGGCTTGCAATGAAAAATTTCTAGACAGAAAACCTAATAACTATTTTTGGCTTGACCCGGGATTCGAACCCGAGATCACATGATCTCACTTACGACCACTAAACCAATGCGATATATTTCATAGTCGCCTCATATGTTACCCGATCAAGACGGAGCGATGATTTTTTTATATAAACACCACTGGCAAAATCACAGAACTAAGTATCTTTTAATGATAAAGTTGTAAAAATTAATTAGCTAAGAACAGGAAAATCGTTCTTTTTCTTATTTAGTAAAAATTTTTACCTCCACACGACGAGAATAGAAATTCTCGATTTTCTCCTCTATAGGCAGAACAATTTTTTGCAGGCCACACAAATACTTATTCCGTGCGAGATAACATTGCGACGTCGCGTCGGACACCTTAATCCTCCGGAGACCATGATTTTTGCAAAGTACTCGAAACGTCGGGAATATAAAAAAAGTTAATAAACGCGATAAAATTCGTAAAATCTAGTTTCATATAATGTGTAGTGTTGGCGTAAACATAGAAACTATTAACTTTAATATTATAATGGATTTCCGCAAAATAATGCCTGATTCTCTTGATTTTATCTTTTAATTTGATAAGTGAGGTATTTTGCCATTTTTTAGGGTTCCGTAGTAAAAAAATAAGGACCACTATAGTTTCGCTATGTCCGTCCGTCCGTCTGTCAGCGGTTTTACTTAGTACTATATTTAAAGCCATAAACCTGCACCGCCTCCACCCTAAAAGTAATGAAATAAAATCTTAAAAAACATTTTTATTTCTTTTATTTAACGTCTATTGTTACTAATGTTAATAATTATTCTTGTCAATTCATTTTCAGCTCGGACTTCTGTAAGCACTGCGAATGTCCAGTTGATTTATCATTCAGTGCTATCAGAACTTCTCCACGATAAACGAAGAAAGTAAGTATTTTTAACTTAAACTTATATTTGTTGCTTTTTTCATGTACCGCAACCACCTCATGGCCGAAAGTGAAGGGAAACCTTATGAAATATGACATACCGTTTATTTGTGCAAACAAATAAATATACGAAATGTATACATAAATACACACAATAACGAATAAAAAATAAGAATTTCATATCCCGTCCCGTCAACTCTTTTTTTACGTGGTAGAGACATGCTGCAGGTATGTGGTGATAGTACGAATGGGTCAACTCGAACGGGGAAAGACCACGCTCTCACAGAACACCACCATAAAATAGCAGCTTAATGCTGCTGTGTATGGTGGTTTTTATAGTAAATGTAGAGAACCGGTGACCAATTTTACTGGAAACGAGGCATCCCATCTTAGTACTCAGGGGTGGCAACGCATCTGCATGTTGATACTTATTCGAGGATAGATGACTCAGATACTTATTCAACAGTCTATTGGACACAGCAGGTGGAATGTGTGCACGTGTGTCACCCTTATTCAATAAAAAAAAAAAACTAGAGAAGGAGGGTCTGCATCTACGCCGCCGCCACTGTTTGGATTGTGATTCTGCCGTGGACAGTAGCCAGCACATTTGTTTTAATTTTATTTTAGATTCCTGTACATCATCATCATCATCATTACAGCCCTTCACAAGTACACTGCTGAACATAGGCCTCCCTCAAGGAATGCCACAAAGCACAGTCCTGAGCCACCTGCATTCATCGACTTCCTGCATGTCTTACCAGGTCGTCACTCCTTCTAGTGGGGGGACGCCCTACACTTCGCCTGCCGGTACGAGGCTGCCACTCGAGAACCTTTTTTCCCAATCGGTTGTCGGTTCTACGAGCTATATGGCCGGCCCATTGCCACTTCAGCATACTAATTCTTTGGGATATGTCGGTTACTCTGGTTCTACTGCGGATATCCTCGTTTTTAAATCTATCACGCAGAGAAACGCCGAGCATTGCCCTTTCCATAGCCCGCTGAGTGACTTTTAGCTTCCTCAACGACCAGCAGTGAAGGACCACGTCTCAGATCCGTAGGTCATCACTGGCAACACGCATACATGGTTATGTTTAATGTATTAAGTTACAGTCTATATACGTCCTACTTCTGGGCATAAGCCTCGTCTCATTTCTTGGAGAGTTTTAGGGCTAGGTAATATCCGCCACGCTTCCCGAATGCGTGTTGGTGAACTTCACATGTCCTATTTCACAGATATGCAGGTTTCCTCAGGGACTAAGCGTTTTTATACTTATTGGATTTTCTTTAATATATACAAGAATCTACAACACCGTCTTTATTAATTACTAGCGAACTGCCTCGGCTACGTTTGAATAGAATCTATTATTGTAACGTTATTTAGATTCAAGATAGTAGAAGAAGATTTTTTTATCAATATTTCGTTTTTTTTTTAAACACTTCTAGGTTTTCGGATAAACATAGCCTAGATCACTCCTGGCATTACTCTCTATTTTGTTCGTAAAGTTTCATCATAATCGGTTTAGTCATTCTGAAGAAGTCCAGACAGACAATCATTTTAAAATTACTTATTTATATCTTACCGGCATGTAAATAACCCCCTTAGCTCAATATAAGGCAGTTATTCCGATATTACAGACAGACACTTCATTTTTATTTTTATGTATAGATTAATTTAAAGTTGTTACTCTGTGTCACAATATGCCTTCGGTATTTTTTGTGATCTGTCCAAGGCTTTCGATTGTGTTCATCATGAGATATTAATCAGGAAACTACAACACTACGGTGTCAAAAATATTGCGCTTAGAGGTATTATTTGATATATAAATAACAGAACTCAAAAAGTCGTCATCAATGGTTCAGGTTCCTCCGGATCAGTAGTATCAATTGGCGTTCCTCGGGTCTCGATTCTTGGCCCATTCCTGTTCTTAGTCTATATTAATGACTTACCTTATCTTGTAGGGGACAATCACGATATAGTATCATTTGCTGATGATACCTCTTTAATTTTCAAACTCAAAGGACAGTTAATTAATTTTGACAATGTAAATAATGCTCTATCGAAATTAATACATTGGTTTAACGCCAACGATTTGTTCTTAAACGGCAATAAGACAAAATGTATGCCCATTGCCACCATGTTGGTTCTATTAAAACTCATTAAAATTTTGTACATTTGAACAGAAAGCCAAAATTATTGTAAAGTGATATATGTTTAAAAAAAAGTCCCGCTGGGTTTCTTGCTGGTTCTTCCCAGGACAGAGGTATTTTTTGAACCAGTGGTAATTAAAAAAATGACTGTAGATGATAAGTATTATGTAATAATCTATAATGAATTAAATATTATTGTATTCTATTCAGTGGCAGTGGCTTACGAAATGGGGTAACCCATTTCGTCCCATGGGTGTCGTAAGAGGCGACAGAGGGAACACCAGAAAAATCATATGACTACGTCGACATTAAATACCCAGAACGGTGACCGGTAGCAGCGTCAAAGTTGCTCACGCCCGGTACTACGATCGTCCAAACATCTGAATATGGGGAGATTAAGACAATTTTTTTAATTCAAAAACCTTACCTACCCCCACACTAGGACTGTCACCTGTATCGTGGAGATAATTTACAAACATAAATTGCACAAGGGCAAACATCAAGATCCAGAATAATTATTTAAATGCTGTACAAATACTTGTTCCGATCGGGATTCGAATCCGCGGCCGCCGGCGCTGCAGAGCCATCATTATCCCTACAAAAGGGAGATATCCTTGTCAGCCTATGAACTTGCAAAGCACACTTGACAGGTAATAAACATCGCACAGCGAGAGTATTGCTTTTGTAAGTTGGTTCCTGAACTTTAGTATAATAACTTTGACATATCGGTTTGCATCCCTTCAGATTTACGTTTTCTGAGACGGCATACTTTTGGCGCTGGTGGAAGGAACAGCGGCCGGCTACTCGTGCCACGTTCCGAGCGCTGGTGCAGGAAGGCCGAGTGGAGTTCGCTGGCGGCGGCTGGGTGCAGAACGACGAAGCTACATCCGACTACCTGCAGATCATTGACCAGTTCACTTGGGGGCTGAGGTAAAATAAACGTGAGTTCTTATATGTGGTAGAGCCACGCTGCAGCTATATTATGATTGTAGCACCAATGGGTCAGCACGACCGTGGAAGAATCACGTTCTCACATAAAACCAGCGTAAAATAACAGTTTAATGTTGCTCTGTTTCGTATGAGAACCGGGGCCCATTTTACTGGAAACTAGGCATTCTATCTTAGTCCTCAGGGGTGACAACGCATCCGTACTCTTGACTCTTAATCGTAAATAGATGTAGACTTCTATGGGCCACTTCACCCACTTACCATCAGGTGGATTGTGTCTCGTTTGTCACCCTTATTCTATAAAAACAAAATTTCACAAACAATTTACAAGTTCTCTGAACTGCCTCTAACTAAATGACGTCACAAAACACTGTCCTGAACTAATTGCATCCATTAACATCCATCCAAGATCCATCCAACGTCAATGAACCATCTAGTAGGAGTCCGCCTTATACTTCGCTTATCAGTACGAGGCTGCCTGTCTTCTCGAAAAAATCTTATACTTATCCCCATCGGTTGTCGGTTTTTCGAGCTATATGGCCGGCCGATTGCTTATTCAACTTACGGGTCTGTTAAGCTATGTCGGCGAAATAAACCCAAAGGTGTAAAATTATTTTTCTTATTTTATTCTATTCCATTCTAGTCCATTCAAATCTATTCCAATTCCGCCGATAAAACCGCCGATTGAAACACTGATATTTTTGGAACGAAGTTCCTTATCGGACGGTACGGGTATCTCCCAAAGCGTATGGGAGCTAGGCGACAAAAAGTGTAAAATTTGTCCGTCACTACACCTTGTGTCATAGTCTTTTTTATTTTAAATGACGCTTCATTTTAATAGACGCTAGTAATACATTTATTTGTATTTGTTAATCAATAATATAATACGTTTGTCAATAATAAGGAACTTCGTTCCAACCGAGTGTTCCACGACACGTACGCATTTTTTTATATTTTTGGTTTATTTTTTGGTGTGCGATAAATTATTATTATTATCTATCTTAGGGTCAGCTCATACTGAGACGTGACGCAACGCGACGCGGCGCACACTTTTTAAGATAGTGAAGCAAATATATAACTTTATTTACTACACGATAAGATACACATTTTAATGAGATAATTCTAAAACGCGGCGTCGCGCTACGCTGTGCTGCGTCTCGAGATGCCTCACGCGTACGCGACGCAGCGGTGCTTCGTCGATAGGCGTAACGTGCAAGAGCGGTGTGCTGTCAATGATTTCACGATGCGCCTCGCGACGTCGCGACTCGTCTCGCGGTGCGAAGCCACTGACACCTCTTCAAGCATCGTCCCATTACGTCGCGCCTTTTGTGAACTGACCCTTAATCCCAACGCCAGTGATTGAACTCGGGAACTCGTGAACTATTAAGGTTAAGGAAATCATATAGCTCCTAATACTACAGGATAATAATGAATAATTTACGGCATTAGCACTGTATTGTCTTTAATTTGTTTTATTCTTAGGAAACTCAATGACACGTTAGGTCCCTGTGGCAAGCCGAAAGCAGCGTGGCAAGTGGACACGTACGGACATACCAGAGAGCAGGCGTCGCTGCTCGCTCAGATGGGCTACGATGGACTGTTTATAGGTATGGACTATCGTATTCATTACAATCTGTGAAAAGTATATTGAACGTAGGCCTCCTCTCTAGAAGGAATTTCGATCACAGCGACCAGTCTCAACAGAGACTAGCCATCTGCGCAGGACAGAATTATGGGGAGTAACTCTCATAGTTCAATGAGAAGGAAGCTTTTACATACTTTCCGAGGCACGGGGGAAGCACCGCTAACTTCTCCTTTCTAAGGATGTTTCTAATTTGTTTTGTGTTGTGAGTTATGTAACATACACGATTGTAAGCGGTTAGTTTAAAGTCCCTCTGGGTTTCTTGCTGGTTATTCCCAGGACAGAGGTTTTTTTTTCGAACTAGTGGTAATTAAATATAAGAGTGTACTTTCAATAATTATTTTTTATAATCTATATGGTCAGTTTCCGTTCTGTTCTGTTCTTCCTGACTCTGGGCTAGTGAGAATGTCTTGACATAAATACTTATTATTACAAAGATGCTGCTGCTCTTCACCTAATTATATCCTTCCATCACCTCTTTCAAAAAGATTCTCGAGTGGCGGCCTCGTACCGGCGGACGAAGTGTAGGGCGTCCCCCCACTAGATGGAGTGACGACCTGGTAAGATATGCAGGAAGTCGATGAATGCAGGTAGCTCAGGACCGTGCTTTGTGGCATTCCTTGGGGGAGGCCTATGTTTAGCAGTGGACTTGTGAAGGGTTGTAATGATGATGATAATGATGATCTTAAAAAGTAGATTTTTTCTTTAACTGAAATGACAAACGAGCTTACAGTGCACAATGGTAAGTGTGATGGTAAGTGTGATGGTAAGTGGTTACTGCAGTCCATGGATACTCACAGACTTGGAATGACTGCAGACAACACAACAAAAGGCTACACATGCGTTGTTGCCCTTTAGGGCTGAAATATAATCTCTCACAGCAGAAACAGAAACTTTTGGAACGAAGTTCCTTATCGGACGGTACGAATTTGGCGGATCGGGGCTAGGCGAGAAAAAGTATAAGATTTTCCATCACGACCCCTTCAGACGCAGTGCCTTGGCGGCTATAAGGAAGCGAGATGGAATAATATCCATCTCCCTCGCACTTTTTCTTACATTGTGATGAAAGAAATGTTATTTAATTTTCAATGACGCTTCATTTTAATAGACGCTAGTAATTCATATTTATTTATATTTGTTAATAACATAATACGTTTATCAATAATAATATACTACGAAAGGAACTTCATTCCAACAGAGTGTTCCACGACACTCACGCATGTTTTTTTAATTCAATATAGATTATAAATAATACATAATGAAAGTCACTCTTTTATTTAATTACCACTGGTTCGAAAAAAACACCTCTGTCCTTGGAAGAACCAGCAAGAAAGCCAGAGGGACTTTTTTTTTAAATAACAGCTTACAATTATGTATCTTACACAATTAACCAATCAAAACAAATTAGAAACAGCTTGGTAGCGATCACCTCATTCCCAGAGGTTAATATCATCCATAAATTAGTTAAGTTATAGTAACCCTTTTTATACAAACTTTGTTTAATAAAGTTTTTAAACTTTGAGCAGGTTTTGTATATTTTCTTCGAATTTGTTGTAAAAGCGTATACATCGCCCCAAGAATGAGTTACTGACTTGGTGAAGTCGACTAACTGATACTTACTAGCTTGTGTCTGTTCCTAGTATTCACAGAATGAATATCACTTATTTTTATATAACTACTTTTATTTTGTGTACGTACATTACTGCTGTTAATTCTCCAGCAGTTAATATAAAATGTTTGTTATGTATGAAGAAGAAAAATTAAATCTGAAGCACTTAAGCATACTAGGCGTTTTCGGCTATTTTAAGAGTTAATGGAAAATCGCCTCAACTCTGGCTTTCTTTGACAGAGACATATTTCCGGCAGTGGACTTATTTTGGCTGAACCAATAACAAATAATTTAGAATTGGTTAACATTCGCAATTCTATTTCCAGGAAGAGTGGACCATAAAGAAAGAGAAGCCATGATAGAAGAAGATAGAATGGAGTTCATGTGGCGCGGGAGTAACGTCCTTGGTAAGTGGTATAATATAAGTCAATCAGTTTTAACTACCGAGCTAGTAAGTTTATACGTGGTAGAGCCATGCTGCAGCTATATTACTGGTATAGTTGTAACACGAATGGGTCGGCTCGACCGGAGAAGGAACACGCTCTCACAGAATACCAGCGTAAAACAGCAGCTAAACACTGCTGTGTTTCGTATGGTGAGTGTAGAGAACCGGATACCTTTTTCTGCCGACTTCCAAAAAGGAGACGGTACTCAATTCGACTGTATGTTTTTGATTTTTTTTTATGTGTCTCATAACTTTTTACTGGGTCAACCGATTTCGATGATTCTTTTTTTATTTGAAAACTGGTATTAAAGTTGACAAATAATTACTTTGCGTACATCCACGCGATAAAATAAAATGATGTGTCTTACCTAGTTTGAAGAGCACCTCCCGCCCTCCCTCAATTGTGTGCACTATCCCCGTCACCAGTAATCCCAGCACCATTACTCCCAACACCACTACACTAGGAAAGACTAGGTGTTTGACCGCTATTTTACGTTTGTATTCTATGCGAGCGTTGTCCTGTGTCTAGCTGGTCTATTCATAATAATACTCCAGATCGAATTTCCGTCAGTTGAGATTCAGGCAGAATTATAGTGATCGAATAAAAGCAAAAGCACATGTGCACTCTCATAGTCCGATGGGATGGTAATTCAACTTGACCAGAGAGAGATCAGGCGAAGGACCATCAGCTTTACGTGCTTTCCGAGGCACGGTGTTAAACACCACCAACTTTCCGACTACTGGCTACTGCTGAGAATCTGTTGACAGAAAAACTCAACAAATTTTATCTGACCCGATCCTGGATTCGAACCTGGCACCTCAAGATCAAGTCGCGTTTACCACTAGACCAACAACGCAACTTAACAACGTCGAACTTATGATATGAGATGACTGCAGCATAATACACTGCACAATACACGATGTCTCTTTCACGTTTATCATCAACGTGGCCTAGCCTTTCCACCGTCTGAAAAAATAAGTTTTAAAATAATTTTAGGTAAAATGTCGGACATAATGACCCACAACCTGTTCAATCTGTACAACGCGCCGGACGGTTTCTGCTTCGACTTCCTCTGCAGCGACGAGCCCATCATAGACGATCCGGATAGCCACGTTTATAACGCTGACACCCGGGTAAGGAAAATTCCTGCCGTATTTGACATCTTTTTATTACTATCTAGCAGAAGCAGTAGGTGGTTTTAGGTTTAGAACGAGTGGCGAGATGTCATCCGCACTAAGCCGACGATGGTAGTGAGACTTGAGTATTCGCAGACAATGGAGCCAAGAAAGCTGGTGCTTTTAGTGCCAGTTTTTTCGAAACAAATGGCCTCCGCGTTACGAGCTTAGCTACATCTTGGTATTTCGTCATTATTATATCGGCATCTATTTGAAGTCGTTATCATCATCATAATCATCATCATTACAGCCTTTCACAAGTCCACTGCTGAACATAGGCCTCCCCCAAGGAATACCACAAAGCACGGTCCTGAGCCACCTGCATCCATCGACTTCCTGCATGTCTTATCAGGTCGTCACTCCATCTCGTGGGGGGTAGCCCTACACTTCGCCTACCGGTACGAAACTGCCACTCAAGAACCTTTCTTCCCCATCGGTTGTCGGTTCTTCGAGCTATATGGCCGGCCCACTGCCACTTTAGCTTACTAATCCATTGGGCTATGTCGGTTACTCTGGTTCTACTGCGGATATACACATTTCTAAGTTTATCACGCAAAGAAACCCCGAGCATAGCCCTCTCCATAGCTCGCTGAGCGACCTTGAGTTTCCTCATACGGCCAGCAGTGAAAGACCACGTTATAATATAATATTATTAGCTCTTTAGGGACAAAGTGGGGTGATTATTTATGGAGAAATAATGATTTAACGACTATATAATGATGATATATTATCTTAGAATGAAACCGCACGATAATTGTATTGTTATTTTCTGAATATCATTATCGATAAATTTATCATTATCTAGAATTATCAAACCCATATTTTTATAGGGGGAAACGAACGGTTCACCTGATGGTAAGTGACTACCGCCACCCATGAACGACTGCAACACCAGGGGAATCGCAAGTGCATTGCCGGCCTTTAAAAAAGAATAGGCTCTTTTCTTGAAATTACCTAAGCCGAATCGGTCCGGAAAAATTGCTCGTGGTAACCCGAATTCACAAAAAAATTGTGCAAGGAAGAAAATTGTAATTCGCACAGTGGTGGATCGCCAATCATTCAGATGGTATAGATGACAGATGATAAGACAGATAATGTCAGTAAGCCAATTATCGACTATAAACGATCACAACGTTTAATATGACAATGATCATACTCGTATTTCTTAGAATTCATTCGATGTAATTAACTCCATGGTACACAAACCATCGTTAACTTGAAAGCAAGTTAGTTTTTCTTCTCATTAATATTGTCATAGAGTTTCAATTAACTAAAACTACACAAAAACAAGCTTTCGATTAATAAAAAACAAAATTATGATCATCGATTAAAAGTAATGCATTGCCTAGCAGAACCTGGCAGAACCATGACACAGATTTTTTTAGAACGGCTTAGTATGTAAAAAAATTTCGAAGACAATATTGGTATATATTTAAATTTTTATCTTTATCTTTATTCTTTCATTCCCAGTGCCAGCTCCTTCCACTTGACCGCATCCAACGCAGAGCGGTTCGAATCGTCGACGACCGAGTTCTTCATGATCGGCTCGATACACTGGCACTGCGTAGAGATGTTGCATCTCTTTGTGTATTTTACCGCATTTACTACGGGGAGTGCTCTGAGGAATTTTCCGGACTAATTCCAGCCGCTCAATTTCACCATCGCACATCGCGACAAAATTTGCGATACCATCCATACCACCTGGATGATTGGCGGTCCACCACTGTGCGATTTAGAAGATGTTTTCTTCCTCGCACAACTTCCTTGTGGAATCGATTACCACCAGCGATTTTTTCGGACTGATACGACTTAGGGACCTTTCGTAGACACAGTTGTCTCCCTCCACTGGCTAAGTTTTGGTGACCTCTTCGGGGAAACCAAGGGTTTTGTCTGTGCAATACAGGATCAGGTTATTAAGACTAACAACTATCGGAGATACATCCTAAGGGATGGCACCGTCGACATCTGTCGAGCTTGTCACCATCCCGGTGAATCACTTAGGCATGTCATCTGTTCAGCGCTTTCTGACTCTAAGTACTTGCATAGGCACAACCTAGTAGCCAGGATTCTACACCAGGAGTTTGCTCTGAAATACGGTCTCGTGGATCGGAAACTGCCATATTATAAGTACTTGCCGGAAATCGTGCTCGAAAATGACCGCGCCAGGCTCTACTGGGACCGGGCCATCATCACAGACAGGACTATTCTTGCGAATAAGCCTGATATTGTGCTGATGGACCAGGCACAGTCTTTTTTATCGACATTACCATTCCTTATGACGAGAACCTCGTGAAAGTCGAAACAGATAAGCTGACAAAATATCTGATCCTGGCTCACGAGGTGACCGACATGTGGGGTGGTCTGCTGGCCGAAATTATTCCTGTGGTCGTTTCTGCGAAAGGGTTAATCCCAGTCAGTCTCTCGGGTTATCTGATGCGGCTGGGACTCCGTGAAGGACCGCTCCAAGCTCAAATGCAAAAGGCGGTGCTCCTCGATACTACCCGCATCGTCCGCCGGTTTCTTTCTCTTTCTCCCTAGCCCTCGGCCTTTTGGTCTCCCCTGCAGAGAGTTTCCATATATTTATACAGCCCAACCAGATGAGAAAACTATATAGATACCCCACATAATAATAATAATTTATTTGATACAGACAACACTGATCCATTACAATTTTAAATTAAAAGACACACAAATGCGTTTTAGCGGGTTGGCAACCGAATTTTGTTTCTAAGTTGTTATTAGGAAGATTCTGCTGTCCATCTCCTGATTTTTAACCTTCTGTCGCCTCTTATGATACCCACGGGACAATATGGGTTTGTTATCCCAAAACCCATACCGTCTCGTGAGTGTCTAATAAAGCAAGTAAAGCTAATATTTGTTGGATCTCATTTCACATCTTCTTTACAGGTAAACGATTTTATAGCACAAATCGAGAGGCAGGCGAAATATTATGATCATGACAACATAATGGTGACCATGGGTGGGGACTTCACCTACCAGAGCGCTGCCAACTGGTTCATGAACATTGACAAACTGATAAAGTAAGTTTACAACGTTTTATTAGTAATATTAGATCATTACAAGATTATTAAGCACATACCATCCACCCTTTTTTATTATGTACGAACAGCTATGCCGGACTAGAGAGAACAGTATCACTGCGGCCTAAAAGATCTATTGTGATCGCTGCTATGTCTACAGTTCACTGCTAAGGACTACGTCCTCAATGAATATGAGTTGCTTAGCTGTGAGTCTTTTCGCTTCTTCTGGACGAAGTATATAGTTTCCCAGATGAGTGCTACGTTTACGCATTAACGCAATTCGTCGGGATGTGTAATGGCGTTTCTTCATTTAGGGAGCAAAACCAGTACATCCTTGAGTTGCTTAGTCCCAGGATGGACATGTGATTTTTAAGACAACAGTGTCCTAGTACTAGGTTCCAATTTGGGGCGCTCTCCATAAACTTCAAAGTCTGCGTTGAGGTTCATTTTTGACCCATCCATATACCATATAAGGCTACCGACCTCACCATGACCTGTCCATTCGTCAAGTCTTCTCGGGAGGGTAGTTCCACCGTATACTTTTTGTTAAAAGTATATAGGGAGGACGCATGATATATGAGATTATGCATAACACCGGTGTTTCCTTAATTGAGTCGAGCATGGATCTCAATCTATAGGAAAGCAAGTTCAAACCACCCTGAGCGTTAAACTAGCCCTCGCCTCCTTGTCTAAGTAACGATCAAGGGGCGTTAAGTCTAGAAATGCATTAAGAGCCGCTCCAGGTGATGATCGCATAGCTCCAGTTGCCATTAAGCAGGCAGTCTTTTGTAAACTATTTAGTCCGTCTGCAGTCGTCTTTTGGTTGGCCTTATTACACCAGACAGTGGAGGCGTAGGTAAAAGTCAGCCTCACTATACAGCTGTACAGCCATAGGATCATACTGGAACGAAGCCCCCAGTTGCTCCCAACCATGCGACTGCACGTACCTAAACTAATTTGAGTCTTATGACATACATTGCTAAGGTGAGAGTCTTCCACGTTAGTTTTTGATCGATTATTACACCCAAGTACTTAACTTCAGTAGAGTATGGTACTTCTTCACCATTACGTTTTGGTGTAACTAATTTGTCCAACCGTCTCTTTTTAGTAAAGGGTATTATAACAGTTTTATCAGCATTAACTGATAAACTGTTATTGCTGCACCATTTGTTTATGGTGTTTAGGGCTCTTTGTATGATTAATGATAAAGTACTTTGGCAAAAGCCCCTCACAATGATCACAAGGTCATCAGCATAAACCAGTGTATCAATGTGAAGATCTGCCATCTTGTACAAAAATTGGTCAACCGCAAGAGTCTAAAGGAGGGGTGACAAAACCTCCTTGTGGACAGCCTCTTGTAGTTGCAACCTCAATCAAGTTTGAAACAGCTCTATTTTTGCCTTTGTTTGAGAGCATCGACTTCACCCACCTGATGGTTGTGGGGTCAACAATTTAGATGTCATGCCCCCAACCAGCAGCGATGTAGGTCTACTGTCGAAGGCGCTCTGAATGTCTAGAAAGGCACAAAGAGCTATTTCTTTATTCTCCAGCGTTTTTTTGACCCTGTCAATAACACTAATCAGAGCTGTTTCCGTAGATTTGCCTCTGTGGTAAGCATGCTGGTTGTAGTGTATAGGTCTCGTAGCTAGAGCTACATCCTTACTATATCTATCTATAACCTTTTCCAAAGTCTTAAGAAGAAAAGAAGAAAGGCTTATAAGGTCTAAAGGACTTTACTAAAGCGTAGTCCTTTCTACCAGCTTTAGGTATAAATAGAACTTTGACAAATTTCCATTGTTCTGGAATATATCCCCATGCAAAACTGGCTCTGAAGATTTTCACCAGATAAGGAAGAAGGATATAGATACCTCTCTGTAGATGGATGGGCATTATTCCATCCTCCCCACTTGTCTTATCTGGTTTAAAGAGTAAACAGCCCACTGCACCACGTTTGGCCTTATTATCTTTGAAGCCCTATACCAGTCCTTATAACAAGGCCTACATATGGCTCTGAAAGAGTTCGAAGCTAGTCTTATGTGACCCTGGGAAATGGGTTGACGCTAGTAGCTCCAGTGTTTCCGTTTCACTATTAGTGAAGTTACCATCAGGCTTTTTAAAAAGCCCGATCTGATTAGGTTTAGCTTTCGATAGCATTTTGTGTAGTCTTGCACTGCGAGGCAAAGACTCAACTTCCTCGCATAGCCTCCTCAACGATGCTCTCTTAGCTTTCCTAATTTCTTTATTATAATCGGTTAGGGCTGCACTATAAATATCCTATTCTTTGTTTTTTTTTTTTAGCCCTATTGAATAGTTTCCTGGTCTTTTCCCTAAGCTCCTTTAGCTTAGTGTTCCATCAAGGAACTTTTCGTATTGAGATCTTGGTTTTGACGGGACAACTGTCCTCGAAGGCTTCACGGATACCTAAGATTACCGTCTCCGCCGCTAACTCCAGACCTTCAATCGTTTTTATGCTTTTAGGAAACGTTTCCAAATTCTTCCTTGGGCTATCGCTGTAGACATCCCAGGAGCAACAGTTTCTTTCAGATGCTTTAATCACAAACTTAATGTGTCTGTGATCAGACATCGAGTTTTCACTACTAATATGCCAGTCAGTATTCCACCTGGATATGTTGTTGGTAGCAAAGGTTATATCGAAAACTTCCTGCCTAGCACGCGTTATAAAGGTTGGTGTTCACCCTAAGTTTAAACTTACCAGGCGATCGGATACGAGGAAGTCAAAAGTAACTCAACTCTTTCGTTGTTGTTTGTGCTTCACCATGCTGTATGGTGAGCATTAGCATCACATCCCACCACAAGTTCGGCGTTGTGCTTACGAGCGAACTCTGCCACTCGCTCTAAGTCGATGGCAGGATCTGGGTTCTCTCAAGAAAAATAGGCTGAGCAAATGATTACTCTGGCGCCTGTGCATCCCTTAAGATTTATAAAGGCTGTAACCAGGTCGTTATTGAAATACTCTGGAACAGCTAAAAGTTCAATATTTTTATTGTAGATGTATCTGCATTTTGATTCGCAAACGAGGGTAGGTGTAGATGAACCACTAACCATCAGGTGGACTGTGTGCTCGTTTGTCAACTTTATTCTATAAGAAAAGACACTTCAATTTAATTAACATGTATAGATAATTCGGTAAAAGATTAATATATCTTCCAGCCACGTGACCACGCATCCAGCGAACTTATCCGACGTCAATGTTTTTTACTCGACGCCATCTTGTTACTTGAAGGCCATCTACATGTACGGTAGGCGAGACAAGTCTGTGTTCACGGAGAAGGTGGGAACATCTTTAGTTTTTTTCATTAATTCATTATTCTTTACAGCCTACCAAAAGTCCACTACTGAACACAGGCCTCCCCTATAGTAATAAAATTATTTCTATAGTTTCAACGCTAGGCAGAGGTTGAAAACTGAAGCTTTTAATTATTTTTAAGATGTTATCAGGTAGATGCTGCTGCCCATCTCCTGTTTCGCTTCCCCTCTATTGCCATTTACGACGCGCATGGGATGACTTGTAGTAGTGGATTGTCTTGGCCAATTTTTTTAAAGTCATTTTGAACGCTGTGATCTATGAACCTCAAGGCCACATCACAGTAAATCTAGCGATAAAGTCTGAAGATTTGTATATCTATACCTTTTTTGCATATAAAAAAGCGCGCAATCATGATAGTATTTATATTATTATATGTATAATAATATAAAAAAATTGTATCACTAACTGTAATAAAGCCACACTGGGTATAGCTACAGCAACAGCTCTTGTTTTGTATGGCTCCGAGCTTAACCAACACATCTCTACAAGATGGATAATTACCGAATACTGGTGGAATTAATTTACTTATTACACTTTTTAAGATCATACGAGGGCGATACTAAAAGTATTTAGAACTGGCCACTTGTAAACGATATAATAAAAAAATAAGTACACATTTTGAAAATGGAACACTTTGCCAATATTATTGTGTATGTATTTTATTAATTTGTCATTTGTTTACGGTTTACGGTTACGAACTTTCAGTGTCACCCTTGTAATAGAATCAGGCGTTACTTTGCGGAAATCCATTATATATGTTTTCAAAAATTAGTAAGCTAGGATCAGTGTAATAAAATAAAATGATGTGTCGTATCTAGTTTGAAGAGCACCAACGGCCCTCCCTCAATTGCGTTCACTATCCCCGTTTCTACCAATCCTAACACCACTACTCCTAACACTTGGCGATGGCTGACAGCATTGTCTATTTCACCAAAGGCCTCATTTAGAGACCTGTCGTATTGTTGACGGTGGTTTGTCTTTCCTAGTGTAGTGGTGTTGGTATTAGTGGTGACGGGGATATTTCACACAATTGAGGGAGGGCAGAAGATGCTCTTCAAACTAATTAAGATATATGATTTTTGTTTCATTACACCCCACCAGAAATCCACTCCTGAACAGGGGCTTACCCCAAAGATTGCCTCTTGGGATCTCTCCCATATATTACCAGTTAGTTGGTTTCCACAAGATCGTGAGAAAATCTGCATATCTTAAGAATATTAATATTTTGAGGATATTCTAATTGCTTCATTAAGGCTTGTGCCCAAAATTGGGACTTACAGTGGCTGCAACCTCAGATTATGAACAATATGAGGCTTTAACTTTATATACATACATAATACATAAACACTCACGCCTGTCACCCAGAGAGGTAGGCAGAGAGTATGAACTTCCATTTGGCGCGATCCTGACACACCTCTCTCGCCTCCTTTACATCCATATATCTACGCATACAAGGGTACTCCTAATCTGGCCCAATTTCAACATATCGCCAATTTGGTCGATAAACCTTCGTCTAAGGCGTCCCTTCCCGACTTTGCCGTTTACTTATGCAACATAAATTTGCTTAGTCACTATTTCCTCGTTCATTCTTTCTACGTGACCAAACCACCGAAGCATTCCTTTCTTAATCCTGGTCACAACGTCATCTTGCAAACCACACTTTTCTCTTATCACACTATTTCTCACGCTGTCATTCAGATTCAAATATATGTCTGTTTTGCAGGGAGATTACTTACCCTACGGCAGCGATTCTACAACATACTGGACTGGATTCTACACGTCAAGGCCCAGCCTCAAATATCTCGCCAGGAAATCACATGTCTTCCTTCAGGTAATTTAAAAATAAACTCCTCCAAACTGAATTTCGGTCAAGACGGCTGATCTTAATGGAGTCTAGCTATCTGCAAAGAACTGGATCATAGCGCCCGAGTGTTTACGCAAGCACAGGTGCAGGTCTATTTCGTCACTCAACGTTAATTTGACACGACCAGAGAGAGATCTTCTTTACATGCCTTCCGAAGCACGGGGGTGAAACACCGCCAACTTCTTGACTCCGGAATGCTACTGAGAATTTCTTTTTTTTTATATAGAATAAAGGTGACTTGCGAGCACACAGTCCACCTGATGGTAAGTGATTGCTGTGGCCCATAGACATCTACATCTACCCTCTATTACGAATCAAGATGCAGATGCGTTGTCACCCTTGAGGACTAAGATGGAATGCCTCGTTTCCAGTAAAAAGGGTCTCCAGTTCTCTACACTCACCATACGAAACACAGCAGCATTAAACTGCTATTTTACGCTGGTATTCTGTGAGAGTGTGGTCCTTCCCCGGTCGAGCCGACCCATTTCTGCTACAACTATACTACTAATATAGCTGGAGCATGGCTCTACCACGTACAAAACGTTACACGTTTACGTTACGTAAACGTGTTCTTGACAGGAAAACCCAATAGGTCATTTTGGTTTGACCTGGGATTCGAACTTCATAATCAGCGATCACATATACGACCACTAGATCAATGAGGCAGTCAGTTATTCTTCTTACAAAGAAAAATAATAGCAATTACAGTGTAAGATTAAGCTTAAACACGTTTGTTTTTAAAGAGAACTTATGATGTTTACTTCGGTACAATAATACAGACAATAGTTAGTGCCAGTTTAATAGAAATTTATATACTATTGCAAGAAATTATTCCACTTTCGATGTTCGAAATTATATTGTCGTCAAAAGTATTTAAATAAAAGAACACTACTCGGTAACAAAACCTGCTTGGGTTTTGGCGGGATCTTGACCGGCGGCGGTTTGCTGCTCCTGTATTATTGTTTAAATAATGGTTTGAAGTGGACTTTGATATGTAAAAGTGGTGCGAGTTTGTGTATTAAATGTCTGCGCATGTGAACTATTAGTGGAAACGGTGAAACAAGTGCTCTAAAGGTGATGTGATTCTCAATATATGGTTGTCTGCTTAGGCGCCTTGAGATACCATTGCCAACTGTCTGCTAGCTCAAGTTGCCGCCAAAACCTCCCGAGGACTTCACAATGTGTCGCATCAGCATATTGTGAAGCAGTGTACTATGAAGGCTAATTATACAATTGTACTACGAAGGATAATTATATATTGAAAAATGGAAAACATGGGTGACGCACAAACCGTGCAGGCCAAGAAATGGGGAAGAAGAAGAACAAAACCTGCTTACTATCAGGACGCCAATTACACGATAACACCAAAGTATGCAACCCTGTATTGCATCACTACCCACTTCTATGTAACACAGGGCAGCCCCTCAGCAACACAACCTTCCTTGCCTACACTAGTAGAATACCTCAACGGGCATAGTACCGACAACCTATGCCCGTGTTTATTCTATTGTCTACGTGGTAGAGCCATGCTGCAGCTATATTATGGTTGTAGCACGAATGGGTCGGCTCGACCGAGGAAGGACCACGCTCTCACAGAATACCAGCGTGAAATAGCAGCTTAACGCTGCTGTGCTTCGTATGGTGACTGTAGAGAACCGGAAACCCTTTTTACTGGCAAAGAGGCATTCCATCTTAGTCCTCACGAGTGACAACGCATCTGCATCTTTAGTCTTTATTGAGGATAGATGTAGATGTCTATGGGTCACAGTAACCACTTACCATCAGGTGGACTGTGTGCTCGTTAGTCACCCGATCGTATAATAAAAAAAAACCTTTTTAGGGAAAATGGGGAGCAGATTGCCTCCTAACCGCTTGTGCGATAGTTTATACTGCTAAAACAAGTGGGAGATTACCATTCTGCCTTCATTTGTTCGTATTTCCTTTTATTTCTTTACCCTCATTTCTGACATTAGAATAATTCCGAACTATAACTTGGAACGTTGGCCGCTCCCCGGGCTGAACACCTTGCCCAACCGGAGTTCTCCCCCTTTTCCTTCCACCAGTTTATTTATATATTTGAACTTAAGTTTAAAATTTGGCTACTCTTTTAAAACTAGCTCTGTATAGTAAATCAATAATAGTACTCGTATATATCATTAAAATAATGATAATTATTATGTGAGTGCACACTAAAAATGCTTCCCTTTCAACTTTCCAGTATTATGCCCACTTAGGGTTACCAGATGAAAAAATTAAAAGTCCGGAGAAGAGGCCTGATTTCCTTAAAATTAATTATTAAAATCCTGAGATTTTTTACAGTTTGAGAAGAAAACCTTACTTAAAAAGGTATCTTCACATATTAAGTATGATAAAACTGTTTAAGTATCTACTTGGATAAATAAGTTTTGATTTAAATTGTGGAATTATTACCAAAGAAAAATTATTTTTAGTTGGTTTAATTTTTATTAAAGAGATCTTTAAAATGTAAGCTGTATTATATTGAAAGTTCTAAAAATCCTGAGATTTCATGAGATTTGCAAAATCCAGTCGCAATCCTGAGAAGAGTCTAAAAATCCTGAAATCTCAGGACAAATCCTGAGATATGGTAACCCTATGCCCATTGGAAGAAATTTCAATATGAAATAGTTAGCGGCCTTGTATAAAAATATCTTTTTAATTTTTACATTGTAACAATACTTTGTGTGCACATAAATATCTTTATATAGAAATCAATAACCGTTTTTGGTACAGTACCTAGTGTGTGTGTGTGTAATTAAATTGATTCGGAAATGTTTTAGATTCACAATTGGATGCGGTAGATGGCACTGTTGTAAGGATCTAGAAATCATTCATGCAAAGCCAAGGCATATTGCTAGATGTTAAATAAATAAATAATAGATGTAAAATAAATAAATAATAAAGTAAAAAGTAAATAATATGCAGTCCTACGTGTATGCAGGCTGTATACAAGTTGTCTTGCACATCTTGATATTTCAAGTTTCGACTGCCTCGTTGGTCTAGTGGTTGTAGTAGTGCGACTGCTGATCATGAGGTCCCAGGTTCGAATTCCGGGTCGGGCCAAAAAAATCATTTATTGAAATTTTCCATCAAAAAATTCTCAGTAGCTGCCCGGAGTCGGGAAGCTGGCGGTATTTCACCCCCGTGCCTCGGAAAGGAGGAATCTCTCTCCGGTCGTGTCGGTTTACCGTCCCATCGGACTATGAGAGTGAGGGAATAGAGAGTGCACCTGTGCTTGCGCATACACTTGGGCACTATAATCCTGTTCTGCGCCGACGGCTAGTCTCCGTTGAGACTGACCGCCGTGACCGAAATTCGGTCTGGGATACATTATTATTATTATTATTTCAGGTTGTGAAGCAGTTAACAGTAATATCTAAGATGGGTGACTCGTACGAGCTGCACCTACTGCGCCACGCTGTCAGCTTGTTGCTTCACCACGATGCTATCACAGGTATTTATTGTATTTCTTCTCCTTTTTCATCAACTCATAATAGTCCACTACTGGATCTCTGACCTCCTTCTTTGTAAGGTTTTGTTGTATTTTTAGCCAAAATCAAAAAGGGGAGGTATTTTCATAGATTAATGATAAGTAAAAATGCTGTATTCTCACGGTTCCCATAAAATTTAGAATCGAGAGTTTTTATTAATTATTTTAATTATTACAAACCGACAATTTCTCTTCTTAAGATCGAAGGTGATGTACTGTGACACATATGTACTTAATTTTATGTAAATAAATGAATGATATTCACAATCTATGGTATTCAAAAGTCATTGATGAATAACTGAAATGTTTCCTTGTAATACAAAAGTTTCACTTCTATCATGTGTCTATCACGACACACAATGTTTCATCATCATCATCATTACAGCCCTTCACAAGTCCACTGCTGAACATAGGCCTCCCCCAAAGAATGCCACAAAGCACGGTCCCGAGCCACCTGCATCCATCGATCTCCTGCATATCTTACCAGATCGTCACTCCAAGAATTCACACAATGTTTATATTTATATATTTACCTTATACTTTTTCCAGGGACCAGCCAACAGCACGTTACCCAGGATTTCATAAAAACCGTAACGGATGCTATTGAGTCGTGCTCTAAAAAAGTGTCACAATACCTCAGGTATATATTTTCGATTTATATTTTCAAAATCAAAATATGTAACGTATCATTCTCGTTGTTTCCAACAATACATTTTATGCGTGGTAGAGCCACGCTGCAGCTACATTATAGTAGAAGCACCAATGTGCCGACTCGACCGGGGAATAACCATGGTCGTACAGAATATACGTGATGAAATAACATTATAATGCTTCTATACTTCGTACGGTGTGTGATGAAAACCAAAGGCTCTTTTAATTCGTAACGATGATATCTACCGAGGATTTTAATAAGTGACCATTTATACGTGGTAGAGCCATATATTAATAGTATAGTTGTAACACGAATGGGTCGGCTCGAACGAGGAAGGACCACGCTTTTACAGAATACCAGCGTGAAATAGCAGCTTAATGCTGCTGTGGTTCGTATGGTGAGTGTAGAGAACCGGAGACCCTTTTTACTGGAAACGAGGCATTCCATCTTAGTCCTCACGGCTGACATCGCATCTGCATTTTAATTCACAAACGAAGATATATGTAGATGTCTATGAGCCACAGCAACCACTTACCATCAGATGGACTGTGTGCTCGTTTGTTACCCTTATTCTATAAAAAAAAACAGACGTTCCTTCTTAGTTCTTTTTTCTTTTTAAATAACTTTAACACTAGGATTTTTCCCTGTATCCTGCAGGCGGTTTACATACAAAAATTGCACAAAGACAAACACTCAGACCCGGAACAATTACTTGTAGACTATACAAATACTTGTTCCGTGCGGTATCCAAACCCGCGGCCCTCAGTAACTCATTGTTAAGCCACTGCACCATGGAGCCATCCAATCAAGTCCACTAGGATGACAACGAATCCGAAATTTAATAGAGGATAGATGAAGGTGTCTATGGGCTAGTGAATGTGTCTCGTTTGCACCCTAATCGAAACCTACTTCCAGCGCTCTGACACCAACTTGGGGAGGCAGCCGACGTTCCAAAAATAATCAACAGTTCATCATCTGTCACCAGTTGAACATGAGTCAATGTAGAGTGAGTGAAATGTGTAAAAGTTTTAAATACCACATTGAATATTGAGTTTATATATGTACTCCACATTATTTTCTAATTAGTAAAATTCAGAGATATCTAAAGCAATAAAATATTTAAATAAAACTAGTTTTTACGGATTTTATCGCGTATATTAACTTATTTTATATTCCCGATGTTTCCAGATTAAAGTTAATTATTTTTATCTGGAGGTAGCCTTGGTTAACTATGACATTGTGACGTTATACACCTCAGTCCCCCCGCCCCCCGTGACCATGGGTGCTGTAACGTGCTCGAAAATGTCGAGAATTATACGCGATAAAATCCGTAAAAACTAGTTTTATTTAAATGTGTAGTGTTTGCATTAATATAAGATTTCAATAAAATATTATTAGAAAATTATTAATACCATGACTTAATATGATGATTAGCAATTGAAACTTGAAACCCAGTATAGCAGCGACTATCTTTTTAACACACCAAGTAGCAAAATTGTTAATAAATGATTTCACAGTTCTCAGAGAGCCAGGACACTATGCTCCTGTTGGTGTACAATCCGTCGAGCGTCAAGACCTACTACCACGTGAGGTTGCCGGCCATAGCGATGCATTACTCTATACGGGACTACAATGGTAATTAAAAAAGAAAATTTCTAGTCTAGTGCTGACCTTAGGCATCCTCTATAAATTACCTTGTAGGGGTTGGTTTTGACATTGCTTTTTTAAATAAAACTAATTTTACGGATTTTATCGCGTATATTAACTTATTTTTAACTTATTTTTATATTCCCGACGTTTCGGGTGCTTTCCAGCACCCGTGGTCACGGGGGACGGAGTTGTTTGACGTCCTGTTGTCATAGTTAGCCCGGCTACCTTCAGTTTTTTAATATTAATTTTTGGTTCGATTTACGCAGAATGAGCTTACAGTATCTTGAAGTCTAGCAGTGGTATACTTGGGTTTGGATTTGATTTTATTAATTATGGGATCCCAAGCAGATGGCAGCACCCATCCATCTTCTCTATTGAAATTAGGATGTTTTTTAATTTCAATAGCCTCGCGAATCATCCTTGGGAGGAATCGGTGTTCTTTTGCGAGGATTTGTGGTCTATCAAATCTAATGTAATGACGGGGACGATCCTGAACATGTTCACAAACTGCAGACTTCCCGATACGTCGGTGCTTCACGTCAGCTATATGTTCTTTAACGCGGGTTTTAATAGATCTTTTTGTTTGTCCTATGTACGAGAGACCACATTCACAATCCAGCTTGTACACTCCTGCATCTTGTAGAGGGATATGACACTTGACGGATGGTAAAAATTGACCAATCTTCTTCAGCGGCTTGAAGTACGTTTTAATGGAAGCTCGCTTCAAGATGTAGCCAACCTTGTCTGTGACTCCTCTGACATAGGGTAGTACAGCAGGCACACGCTCGACTGTGGCTGGCTTCACTCGGTCACTGTGACGTAGGCGCGGGACCCGAAGCTTGTTGTCTTGCAGTACTTGCTCGACGTGCTGAAGCTCGGCGGCCAGATGTTTTCTGTCACAGATCCCTCGTGCTCTCTGAAACAAAGATTTTCCCACGGTAGCTAACTGTGAAGGATGATGGTGAGATTCACCATTTAAATATCGGTTGGTATGGGTATTTTTTCTGTACACAGTATGACCAATAGTGTTATCAGGATTTCGGATGACTAAAACATCTAGAAAAGCTAAAGTATTGTTTGCCTCTAACTCCATTGTGAATTGTATTTTAGGGTTTATGGAATTAAGGTGGTTTAAAAATGCAGTTACTTTGTCAGATGGTAAAATTGTGAAAGTATCGTCTACGTACCGCTTGTAGAATCTTGGATTTACAGGAGCAGTAAGAAGGGCTTTCTCCTCAAAGTCCTCCATGAATATGTCGGCGACTACGGGAGATACAGGTGAGCCCATTGCCACTCCGTCTACTTGCATGTAGAACTCTTCTTTCCACAATAAATAGCCAGATGTGAGGCAGTGTTTGAGTAATACTGCATATTCTGTAGGCATGTTGTTATCTTCTAGCTTTCTAGTAACAATTGAGATGCAGTCTTCAATAGGTAGGCATGTGAATAGTGACTGAACATCAAAACTGACCATAGTTTCATTGTCAGCGAGATGTAGGTCTTTAATCTCACTAACAAATTGGTATGAATCCTTTGTGTGTGCTCTGGTATGTCCTCTTAGTGGTGACAGTATTTTTGCCAAGTGTTGAGCCAACTTATAAGTTGGTGAATCGATCTGGCTTACTATAGGACGTAGTGGAGCATTTGGTTTGTGTATTTTCGGTAACCCATACAACCTCAATAGAGAAGATGGATGGGTGCTGCCATCTGCTTGGGATCCCATAATTAATAAAATCAAATCCAAACCCAAGTATACCACTGCTAGACTTCAAGATACTGTAAGCTCATTCTGCGTAAATCGAACCAAAAATTAATATTAAAAAACTGAAGGTAGCCGGGCTAACTATGACAACAGGACGTCAAACAACTCCGTCCCCCGTGACCACGGGTGCTGGAAAGCACCCGAAACGTCGGGAATATAAAAATAAGTTAAAAATAAGTTAATATACGCGATAAAATCCGTAAAATTAGTTTTATTTAAAAATGTGTAGTGTTCGCGTAAATATAAGAAATCATTTGACATTGCTGTCAAGCTTGTCAAGCGGGTTTGCATCCAGAGTTTTTAATAACTTTGTGTTAAGGCGTTTCCCTGACCAAATAACCTTGAGCATGTAGTGCACTGCCGCCCGCACTCTGCGTACGCCCATTTATCATAGAATTCTCACCATTTTTGGGAATTAATTTTAATTAAAAAGGAAAAGCAAACTTTAAAAATTAAATAAAACGTGAATAACATAGATTTTTAAATTATCTATCCATTAGTGCAATCCTCAAATGATTAGACCGTTGCGTTTAGCAACAGATGTAAAGTAGATTTTAAATGTATTTATAACACATAAAAACATATTAGAACGTGTAATGTGATGATAGGATATCGACCATTAATAATGTGCTTTTAGATGTAGTTTATTTCTCATAACTAATGAGATAATAGTCTCTGAATAACGAAGAAAAACACACTATCGCAAGGTTTTGGTCGGCGTATCGCCTTAAGATGATGCTGCCCATCTCCTGTTTCAACTTCTCTCAGTTGCCTCTTACGATACGATAAGAGATAGAGAATTCTCTTGCGCCGCTACTGCACGGTTCACCTGATGGTAAGTGGATACTGTGGCGCATAGATATCTTCACCTATCCTCAGTTAAGAATCATAAAATACAGATGCGCTGTCACCATTGAGGACTAAGATGGGATGCCTCATTTCCAGTAAAAAGAGTCTCCGGTTCTCTAAACTCACCATACGAAACACCGCAGCATTGAGCTGCTATTTTACGCTGGTATTCTGTGAGAGTGTGGTCCTACCTTGATCGAGCCGACACATTCGTGCTACAACAATAATATAAATTCAGCGTGACACTGCCGCGTAACTAAATTAGTTACTAAATAATTTACCAAGTGCAAGGATATACAGTGGCACGCCTTTAGAGAGACATATGTCCAGGAGTGGACTGCCCCAGGCTGATGATGACGATGAATGATATAGATAAGTTTCAACGCGTTTCAGACGAAGAAGTGGAATACCAGCTGTTACCACTGCCAGCAGCCGTTATAAACCTACCTGGACGGAGCTCCGCTGCGATTCAAGAGCTTTACTTCGAGGCGGAGAATATACCACCAATAGGCTACACAGCGTACTACATAGCACCGATCAGGGACCCACTGGTAATTTTAATGTTTTTCAAATTTTGCGGTATGTTCGTCCACTGACTGTGTTTATTTACAAAATATAATATAAATAAGCTCTTTCAGTGAATCAGTGAGTAAATATTTTAAACATTTTAAACATTCTTTAAAGCTCAAGTAGTGAGTGCAGGAACAATGGCTTTACGTGCTTTTCGAGACACGTTTATGAAACACTTCTTAATTACTAAACCCGCCTGCTACTGAATTTTTTTATAGAAATACTCAATAACTGGTTTTGAAACGATCCGGATTCGATCACGAGATTCCATGATCAGCAGTTGCCCTTACGACAACTGGACTAACGAGGCGTTCAATTAAATCAGTACCATCATAGTCTATCCAGAGTCACTGTAAGACCAATGATCCTCGGAGTATCGTTAATGATAATTTATGAAAATAGTAGCAGCATATGATCTGCATGCAGCTAATGTTGAGTAGCTAATACATAATGTTATATAATATATATAATATATATATATATAATAGATAATGTTCAGTCGCTAATGATCAGCATGCAGCGTAGGGTAGGGCAGGCAGTAGGACCTATTAGAGAATCAAGACGTGCTATAAACGTCCGCTTTTGTATAGAATAAGGACACAAAGTCTACCTGAAGGTAAGTGTATGCTGTGGTCCATAAACATCTAGATTTATTCTCAAGTGGGTTCAGATATATAAATTAATGATTTTAAACTGAAGGTAGCCGTGGTTAACTGGGACAGACCCCCCACCCACCCCCGCTCCGAGACCTACACCGGGAACATAAAATAAATTAACAAACACACAATGAAATCTAACTTAACTGCTATACTGTAATAGCTATCGAATTTTAACAAAAAAATAGATATGAAACATCGTCTCGACAAAAAAAAATACATTATACTGTATGAACACGATCTCAACTCAATTAGTTAAATCGTTCAGAAGTTATACGAGATCATTAACAGATGCACCAACGATTATCTAACCAGTCTCGAGCACAACAAGCCAGCCTTGCGGTTTTCTACAGATACATTTCGTAGAGTGAGTACGGGAAGGTATGGAAACGGAGGAGGCCGCGGCTGCTGTCCGTACGCACCCGTACTAATTTACTAGACAACGCGAATGTTACGCACATTTAATATAATTTTTTGCTCCGTGAGTGCATTCACTAGGGTAGGTTTGTTTACAATTTGTTACAGTTAACACCACATTTTTGTTTTGCATGAAAATAACTACACTATCACATTAGGTAGTTCCTGTTATGATAGTCGAAGTTTCAATAAATAAATAAAAAATAAAAATTGCATAACTCAATTCCTCCCTCTCCATTCCACCATTGGAAAACAAGACGGAAAAGGAGACTGGCCTCCCTTCGTCGTTAACTTATCACGCATTCCAACCGTTTTCATTCAAATACCGCTTCATCGATCGTCACGCGTACAACAAGAAGTGGAATAATATGTCAACATCTGTCTTTCTATCGGATTACAATTAATGTGGGTTTTCAAGACAAGACTGAATATGCTTTTGTTAAGCTATTGAGTGCGCTATCTTTGGCTACATCACCACTTACCATTAAGTGTGATATTAGTGAAAAGCTGGCTTAGTATGGTAAATAATGAATTATTATGTGAAACTACCTTTATATAATATAAAGGTAGAATCACACAAAATATTATCAAAACGCAAAGTGAAAACTGACGAAATGGATAAATCGTCAGAACCAAAAGTACACAAGGCTTCAAGCTAATCTGCGTATTTTTATTTTAGGAAGAATCCGTATTCGCGAAGAAGACTCACCACAACCCTGAAGCTGATCAAGAACTTACACCAACCATTTCAAATGAGGTACCAAATAAAACGACAATTTTAATGAAGTACATTTTTTTATAACACTGAAGTGACACGCGAACCTACGGTCCACCTGATCGTAGTGGATATTGCAGGCCATGGAAACGTAGACCTAGGCCAAAGAAGACACCATTTTTACGCTGTCACCTCTGAGGACTAAGATGCAATACCTCACAACGAGCAATCATACTGATTCTCTATTAAGAAGAAGAGTATACCCGTCTGACCGGAACACACCAGTTCACTTACTTCCGCTTATATATATATATATATATATATATATATATATATATATATATATATATATATATATATATATATTAACAAATTTTGTTTTTGTTTTCATGATTAGCATTAATTCTAATATTAAATTTTTACAAAGCGACAGCTTTTAAACGCTATCGGTAAGTCAATTTTTAAAGCGACTTCTACAATGGAGGATGTGATCAATTTGTCTATATAGACGAATTATACAGTGTTATTTATTTAGCAATATCCGGCCAAATTTGTAGAGAAGGTAATGAAAATAAGTAATATAGGCAAATAGTGAAGAAAATTTAATACAAAAAATCTCAAATAATCTGTCAATTTTATCTTTTAAATTCAAAATGCGTTGTAATGCATTATTTTAACTGATTTTACCACGAACACACACATTCGTAAGGGTCGTTCGGTAGGCAAAAAGGTTCTTGCCCATAAATCACATTCAATTTGGGATAATTTCAAATAAAAGTAGAAGCCTTATTCACTCGTATTTTCAAAAACAATTACTCAAGACGGAATTACGAACACGACTTCCACTTTGAACAAAGACTAGCCATCCGCCCAGGATAAGATTAAAGTGTACGTGTGCGTGCGCAAGCACAGGCGCTCTCACATCAATCACACTCATAGTCTAATAGTAAGGCAATTCGACACGACTTTACGTGCTTACGTGCTACAAAGAATTTCTTGACAGAAAATTAATTTAAAATTATTTCATCGACGTTTGTGATCCATATCCAGCGGTAGAATTATGCGGGCTGGTGAAATACTTATCCCCCTCTCCATCACCAGTCAGTTCAAGGTTCCCCGTCCGCCAATCAATCAGTTAGCACCAGGAAAAATATTTCCAATTTTCCAATTTCTATTCCAGTACCTGAAAGTAACAATAGACAAAGACACCGGTCTGCTGGAGTCAATCCAGCACGTGGACGGCGTGAAGGTGCTGATCTCCCAGAACTTCTACTTCTACAGTCAAACCCAGCAGCCACTGCAGTCTGGCGCATACAGTTTCCGACCATCGAGTAACAGGCCAACACCTGTAAGAACTTTACTCCATGTTTTTCACTACGAGTTAACGGATTGTATTTATAAGCTTCATAGTATGACCAAGCCACTATCGTACCTTCTCCTTATTTACGTGATAGCCCACAGTGAAAGTAAATCTAATTATAATAACAATGTCCTGCTGACCGAAGTTCCGTCACTGTGTCCAGAGTCTGAACTCCAGACTCAACGGAGTCTAGCCATCTATGCAGGACAGGGTTATAGTGCACAAGTGTATGCGCAAGCACAGGGGCACTCTCTATTCCTTCACTCTCATAGACCGTAGAGAGATCAGGCGCAGGACTAACGGCTTAACGTGCTATCCGAGGCGCGGGGGTGAAACACCGCCTGCTTCCTGGCTCTGGGCTGCTACTGAGAATATCTTGACAGAAAACACCAATAATTAATTTTGGCCCAACACAAGATTCGATCCCGGGACCTAATGATCGACTGTCGTAGTTACGACCACTGGACCAATAAGGCAGTCAAATTAAATCTAATTAACTTAGCTCTTGACTGCAGCCGTGATACACTCCAAATAGGCATTACCACGTCAAACTTTGTTTCCTGGTTAGAAACACAAACAATACCAAAACTTGGGAGAAATATCTATTATGTTAATAGTTGACTATTAATTATTAACATTAACAATGAAAAGAATTTTTGCTAGATTACAGATAAAGTTATATACCACGCGGTCAGAGGGAGTCTGGTCAAGGAGATCAGGCAGAGATTCAGCGACTGGGCGACACAAGTGATACGTCTCTACAGAGGCGAGGAGTTTATAGAGCTGGAATGGATTATAGGGCCTGTGCCTGTTGGGTATGTATGAATCATCATCATTAATTCATTACAACCTATCGAAAGGCCACTAATAAAACATAGATCACCTTAAAAGATTGCCTCAAAGGGGTGATATATAACCAACCAAAAAGTTACTACAAAAAGTATCAAATTCAAAATGAATTAATAAATGAAAAATAATAAAAAAAATTTCAATATTTTGGCGGCCCGTGTCGGCCATTTTGTTTTGGTCTGTCATCTGTCAAATCTTTTGTTTGTTTGCTATTAATGATACTTAAGAGGCAGGTTGTCCAAAAAAATGTTGCTGCCTATCACCTTTTTCAGTATCCTTCTGTCGTCTCTTACGACACCCGCTGAATGATATGATGAGTAGATTATTTTGCGCCGCTTCTACACGGCATGTCTAGTGTACAAATATTCTAATAGAAGTAATTCGTCGCTAACACCGCAAAGGGGCGAACCTCAATTTTTAAAAAATTACAGGCGAGCAAGAAAACATTTATTATTCCCTGATTACTAGCTTTTTTCATCAGAAAACTTACACACCGCCATTACACGGTGGAGGTGTTTAACTTACATAAATTTGTGTGTGTGTTACACATAGACAAACATCCAGACCCGGAACTATTATTTGTAGGCTATATATATCTTGTTTCGTGCAGGATTTGTACCCACGTTCCTTAACGTCACAGCCATACCCTTAGCCACTGCTCTATCAAGCGGTGAAGGTCGTTGCTACTCCCCTTATTATAACTTCCAGGAATGACCTCGGTAAAGAGGTGGTAAGCATCCTGAAGACCAACATCAGTAACGGCGGTGAATTTTTCACGGACGAGAACGCGCGCCAGATGATGAAACGCACCTGCTGGAACGAAACTTCTAGTGAGTTATCTTATAGTAGAATAGAATAGAATAGAATATTTTTATTACAAGTAATGTCCCGCAGTTGTCGTGTAGTTAGGTTGTAAGAATATCCACTACCCCATATCATCCCGTGGATGTCGTAAAAGGCGACAGAGGGAAACAAAGGAGATGGGCTGCAGATACTTCCTAGTAACGACTAAAAATAAAAAATAAACTGTAGTTGCCAACCCGCTTGCCTAGTGTGGCAACTATGACAAATATCCCCCTTATGAAGAAATCTATGTGGAAAGCCTATGCTCAGCAGTGGACTTTAATAGGCTGCAACGGTAACGGTAATTAATGTCCTCCTGACCGAATTACGTTCTTTGCGGCCAGTCCCAACGGAGACTAGTTATCTGCACAGGGCAGGATTATAGCACAGGTACACTCTTTTTTTTTTTAAAAAACGTTACCTCCAAACTAGGATTTTCTCCTGTATCGTGGGGCCAGCTTACATAAATAAATTTCACAAGGACAAACATCCAGACCCGGAACAAATACTTGTAGGCCATACAAATTCTTGTTCCATGCGGTATTTGAACCCGCGGTTCTTAGCGCAGCAGCTCATTGCTAAGCCACTGCGCCACGGAGCCGTCAAATTATTTCCCCACTCTCATAGGCCGATGGAACGGTAATCCAACTCGATCGTAAAGAGATCAGGCGCAGGACCAACAGCTTTATGTGCTTTCGAGTCTCGAGGGTGAAAGACTGCCAACTTCCTGACTCAGGGATGCTGCTGAGAATTTCTTGGCAGAAAAACCAAATAACTGATACCGAACCGTCTCGGGATCCGAACCCGGGACCTCATGATCAGCAATGACGTTTGCGATCACTAAACCGACGCGGCAGTCAAATTGCTAGTATACTTATCCGGGACATATAACCGCCGCCGTTGGTGACAAGAGGGCTGATTCACTTCTCGCTCAAAGGCTAAATATAGGCTAAATATGTCATCAGCAAGGAAACGCAGCCAGCGTTTTGGCACTATACCGCGGGGAGTAGGACTGTATGATTATTTCAGTTTTAGTTTTATTTTTATAGAATAACGGTAACAAACAAGCACATACCTAATTCACCTGATGGTAAGTGGTTGCTGAGGCCCATAGACATCTACATCTATCCTCAATTAAGAATCAAAAGGCAGATGCATTGTCACCCGTGAGGACTAAGGTGAAATGCCTCGTTTCCAGTAAAAAAACACAGCAGCATTAAGTTGCTATTGCACGCTGGTACTTTGTAAGAGCGTGGTCCTAACTCGGTTGAGCCGACCCATTCGTGCTGCAACCATAATATAGCTGTAGCGTGGCTCAACCACGTGTAATTATAGTATTTTAAAATTTAATTTAAGAAACATCTTACAGTCCAACTCCACCTGATGGTAAACTTACCCATACCCCTACTGTAGCCCATAGACCATCCATTATAGCCTTTAAAAGTCCACTACTGAACTTTGCATTATGTCGTTTCTTAAGACACTCACGGGACGACATGGATTAGTGGATATTCTTACACCGCTACAAAACGGTTAACAAGCCCATGAACACATGTAACTAACTTTAAATATAGGATTTTAGATACAGAATATTTCAGAAGAAGCATTGTCACCTGTGAGGACTAAGGTGGAATGTCTCAAATTGCATTTATAACGGCTGTCCCAGACGTACCCCATCTAGTACATTCTAGTATTAAGTTACATCGTCTTCCTACTGGATAAATCATCAGGTCATCAGCAGAAGAAGCCGGTGGCGGCGTGCTACTATCCCGTGACGTCTCGCATCTGCACGCGCTCCGTCAACGCCAGCGTGGAGCTGTGCGTCCTGACCGACCGCACGCAAGGAGGCACCTCCTATAACGAGGGCGAGATTGAACTGATGGTAAACTTCGATCCAAGTTTTCACAGTAGGAATTTTTAAACAAATTAAAAATATTTTAATTTTATCGTCAACGACCGCGGTCTATGTCTGGAAATAAACATTTCCGAAAAAAAACGACAATTAGGTAATTATAAATAACTACTATGTATATAATTTATTGTGGTTGCCTGGTTGAGATCGCCTCTAAGCAATAAGGCCGCCAATTGTACCTTTAATTTATATTGCTTTTTTTTATTTTCTTACTTCTTGGTTTACAATATAGTATTTTTCATAAATTCAATTTGAATTTGATACTTTCTGTAGTAACTATAAATTGGATCGGTTTCCCATTCAACATCCAACTCTTAAAAAATGATTCAATGGAAAAGAATATCAAATAGCCAGTTGTCAAGATTTGCCCATTCACACCACTAGGCATTTATGTCAGTTTGTAGTGTGTTAATCCTAACCCCTGTTACCAAAGAAAATATTTAGGGTTCTGCAAATTTAGATGTATTTTCACCATCAATCTCTCTCCTAAGACTGAGAAGATTGCACCACATGCACGAGAAATTAAGCTTTAGATAAAAAAAGCTAAAAAGCTATTGTATGTATTATTTTTATTTATGGTATTATTTTATTTTTATTTATAGTATCATTTAATATAATTTAACAGTGGTAGAGCCACGCGGCAGCTTTTGCTGTCGCACGGATGGGCCGGCTCGAACCGGGGTGGTACCACGACCTCACAGAAAACCAGCGTGAAGTAGAGGTTTACCTCTGCGTTTCGCTTGGTGAGTGCAGGTGGCCGGAGACCCTTTTTACTGGAAATGAGGCATTCCATCTTAGTCCTCACGGGTGACAACGCATCTACATTTTGATTTCTAATAGAGGATAGATGTAGATGTCTATGGGCCGCAGCAACCACTTACCATCAGGTGGACTGTGTGCTCGTTTGTCACCCTATCCTATAAAAAAAATTACGTATGTTTTTGTATATTATTTACAGTAGTATTAGTATTGTACGCACTAAGTTTGCATTTTTAAATATATTTTCCTTTGTAGGTCTACTGGAAGATATTTCAGCAAATTATGGAATAAGTAGAACCTTTGTACAAACTCATTATAAGACTGTTTCTGTATCTTGCTGTGTGTACATAAATATATTTAAAAAAAATTGATGAAAAGACGTCAATAGCTTAATAGTTAAGGGTACAAATACGGAGCGCAAACTTTAAAGTCGCGGGTTTGAAATCGCCATTCGATTACTATCGCGGATCACTCCTAATACGAGCATTTTAAGTTTAGTGTAGTAAACATAAATATTAGTAATATTGATAGCATTTCTAGTTTTTATTTTAACAAAACAATATACAATGTGTATATAGGGGACCATATACACTAATGGACAGTATTAGTGGAACCCAAAAAAGGACTGTTCTACGAGTAATTATCGTTCGTACTGGCCACAAACATTAGCAAATGCTATTAAATGCTATAAAAAATCGAAAGCTTTGGAAAGATATTTTTTTCGAATTTCATTTGTTTTTATGTAATTATATATAATGCACGCCCCCGTACTGCGGCCGAATATTTTCGTGATATTGAAATTAATGCTACGGGGTGGCCAGCGCGCTCGCCCAAATTAAACCCCGTAGAACATGTATGGGATAAGCTAGGAAGACAGATTAAGAAAACAAATTCCGCCCCGTTAGTTTGAGATACCTTAAAAACGCATTACAGGACGAATAGAACCCAATCTCCTAAAATTTTATTAATAACTTGATTAGGAGTATGTCAAGGAGACTGGAAGCAGTTTGAAGTGTTAGAGAGGCAACACTAACTGACTATAGCCCACGTTATAGACTCCGTGGCGCAGTAGCGTAGTAGTAGTAGTTTTTTTAACGGTGGTAGAGCCACGCAGCAGTTTTTGCTGTTGCACGTATGGGCCGGCTCGAGCCTGGTTGGTACCACGACCTCACAGAATACCGGCGTGAAGTAGAGGCTCTGCTTCTGCGTTTCGTCTGGTGAGTGCAGGTGGCCGGAGGCCCAATTTCCCCCCCCCCCCCATCAACATGGTAGCGGAATTACACGAAAGACTACCCCAGGAGGGTACCAGTACCCCTGGGGAATCCCTCGCTGAGCATCCAAGACCATGTTATTCCAATCCTGAGCGTGGGTCCTCAGGCTGCCCCGCGTATTCTGGGGGGGGGCAAAATTCCGCTCAAAAACATAACTGCTCGGAGCAAACTGAGCAACAATACCAAGGCGATACCTGCCACGCTATCCGTGAATTTCTGCAACATCAGGGGACTTCACTGTAACCTAAACGCCGTCCACTACCATCTCGAGACGGCGAAGCCGGCCCTGCTCTTTCTGACCGAGACGCAGGTTTCCTCTCCGGCTGATATTTCGTATCTCTCCTACCCGGGGTACAAATTGGAGCACTCCTTTGTGCCTCGGGCTGGAGTTTGCGTGTATGTCAGAGAGGACATCTGTTCTCGACGCCTCGGCAGTCTTGAAGGTGACCTGTCCATCCTTTGGCTACGTGTAGACAGCGACGACCATCCGCGCGTCTACGGGTGCCTCTATAGGTCCCATAGCGGTAATGCCGAAACAGACCGACTTATCGACCACGTCCAAATGGCTACAGATTCCTTGCTACAACAGGTCCCATCCGCATAGATCGTGATCCTTGGCGATTTTAACGCCCACCATGCCGAATGGCTCGGTTCATGTTTAACCGATCGTGCGGGGAGATCTGTTTATGACTTTGTCTTGGCATATGGTCTGACACAACTGGTTACTTCGCCTACGCGGATTCCAGATGTGGAGGATCATACACCTTCCCTGTTGGACCTTCTGCTGACCTCTCATCCGGACGGATATCAGGTTTCCGTCGATGCTTCTCGGCTCTTCGGACCATTGTCTGATCCGGAGTGTGGTGCCACTCACGCTCCCTTCGCGGTTGGGTTCTGCAGGTTGCCGCCGTGTTTAGCATTACAGGTCGGCGGATTGGGACGGAATGCGGTCTTTCTTTGCATCCTACCCATGGGGGCGGGCTTGCTTCTCGCCGGATGATCCCAGCGCTGTTGCTGACTCTGTCACTGATGTGGTGCTACAGGGAATGGAACTATTTATTACATCATCTGTGGTACCCATCGGAGGCAAATCTCAGCCTTGGTTTGGTCGCTCCTGTAAGACTGCATTACGCAGTAAGCAGGAAGGTTATCAAGCCTGGGCTGTGGCTTCGGCGACTCGGGATGTAAACACCAGCACACTTAAAAAGAAGTATAACTTCGCCTCCAGGTCCTTCAAAAGAGTTATTGCCAAGGCAAAGTCAGAGCACATAGGCAGAATTAGCGAGAAACTAGTTCGCCTTCCTTCGGGAACCCGTGCATTCTGGTCTCTCGCCAAGGCTGTCCAAGGGAATTTCTGTAAGCCATCCCTACCATCTCTACACAGGGAGGACGACTCACTGGTCCAAGACGCAAAAGACAAAGCTGACCTTTTAGGCTCCCTTTTTGCGTCCAACTCGACTCTTGATGACGGGGGGAAAACACCGCCGACCATCCCGCGGTGTGAGTGCTCCATGCCGGATGTGCTGTTCTCACAGCGCTCGTTTCGTAAAGCACTTCTCTCCCTGGATATCCAGAAGTCAAGTGGGCCTGACGGAATCCCCCCAATTGTGCTGAGGACGTGTGCTCCGGAGTTGGCACCGGTCCTAACGCGTCTTTTCCGGTACTCCTACTCCCAAAGCGTAGTCCCGAATTAATGGAAGACAGCTTTTGTCCACCCGATCCCTAAAAAAGGCGATCGCTCAGACCTGTCCAACTATAGGCCTATCGCGATCATCTCCTTGTTCTCCAAAATAATGGAATCCATTATTAACTGCCAGCTCATCCGGTACCTTGAGGATCACCAGCTGATTAGTGACCGCCAATACGGTTTTCGTCGGGGTCGATCAGCTGGTGATCTTCTGGTCTACCTGACGCATAGATGGGCGGAGGCAGTAGAGTCCAAGGGGGAGGCGTTGGCCGTTAGTGTGGACATTGCGAAGGCCTTTGATCGGGTTTGGCACAAAGCGCTTCTTTCGAAGCTCCCTTCCTATGGGCTTCCCGAGAAATTGTGCAATTAGATCACCAGCTTCCTTGCAGATCGGAGTATCAAGGTCGTTGTAGACGGTGCATGTTCCGACTACAAGCCTATTAACGCTGGTGTTCCACAAGGCTGTGTGCTATCACCAACGCTGTTTCTTCTGCATATCAATGATATGTTGCTAACTGGTAACATTCATTTCTATGCGGATGACAGCACTGGTGATGCTCTATACACCGGCCGTGCCAATATTTCTCGGGGAAACGTCGCCGAGTACCGGAACAAACTTGTGTCTAAAGTAGAGTCTTTGCTGGACAAAGTCTCGGATTGGGGGCGACTAAATCTAGTCCAGTTTAATCTTTAGAAGACACAAGTTTGCGCGTTTACCGCTAAAAAGAACCCCTTTGTCGTATCTCCTCAGTTTCAAGGCACTCCCCTTCTTGCCTCAGCCAGTATCGGTATCCTCGGAGTCGACATATCGAGTGACGTGCAGTTTCGTGGTCACTTGGAAGAGAAGGCCAAATTGGCCTCTAAAAAGCTTGGCGTGCTCAGCAGAGCGGGACAGTATTTCATGCCGGCACACCGCCTGCAACTTTACAAGGCGCAGGTTCGGCCTCACATGGAATACTGTTCCCATCTCTGGGCAGGGGCTCCCCAGTGCCAGCTCCTTCCACTTGACCGCATCCAGCGCAGAGCGGCTCGAATCGTCGACGACCGAGCCCTTTCCGATCGGCTCGATTCATTGGCACTGCGAAGAGATGTTGCATCCCTTTGCATTTTCTTTCGCATCTACCACGGGCACTCCCCATAGTGCTCTGAGGAATTGTTCGGATTAATCCCAGCCGCCAAATTTCACGAACGCACATCGCGGCAGAACTCCTGATACCATCCACACCATCTGGATGATTGGCAATCCACCACTGTCGATATAGAAGATGTTTTCTTCCTCGCACGACTTCCTTGTGGAATCGATTACCATCAGCGATTTTTCCGGACCGATACGACTTAGGGACCTTCAAGAAAAGAGCGTACTCCTATTTAAAAGGCCGGCAACGCATCTGTAATTCCCTCCCTGGTGTTGCAGTTGTTCATGGGCGGCGTTAGTCACTTACCATCAGGTGAGCCGCATGCTCGTTTGCCCCCTCTCCTATAAAAAAAAAGTAGCTTAGCAATAAGTTGCAGTGTTGAGGCCCGCGGGTTTGAATCCCACGCGAAATAGCAACACTATAAATATTACTAATATTCCCTTTAACCGCTCCAGGTAGGATTAAAATGCTTACGTTACGAGTGATTCGTGACAGTATTCGAATGGCAGACTCGAACCCACAACCTTTTGAGTTCGCGGTCCACGCTCTGCAATCAAGCTACTGTCACTTCTACTGATGAAGAAGAACATTTATACTTATATATTATATTAATACTAAACAATGTTTTTTTTTTATAGTTGCATCGTAGACTACTGACTGACGATGGCTTCGGTCTAGAAGAAACCCTCAATGAAGAGGCATTCGGCGTCGGATTAGTGGTGAAAGGAAAACACAGAATCATGTTTGGCAATTTCCGACAAGAGAGTAAGTAGTTGTCTCTATACGTATCACACTACACTGCAGGTGTATTATCTGTGCAGCATGAATACCAGCGTAAAATAGCAGCTTATTATTCCATGTTAGTCCTAATGGGTGTCAATACATCTGCATTTTCTTTCTTAATTGAGGTTAGATGTAGGTGTCTATGGACCACAGCATTCACTTACCATCAGGTGGACTGTTTGTTCATGTCATAGTTCTGTAAAAATAGTAACTAAATTGAATGAAGTAATTTTTATAGCAATCGGATAAAATAGAAAATTGTGACCAGATTCTTATAATGGCTGATAAAATAACCAAAAATATTAAACTAATACATGGTCTTAGGTGCAAAAGTTACAGCCTATATACGTCCCAAAGCTGGGCACATGTCTCTTCTCATTTGTGAGAGAGATTTAGGGCAAGAAAATGTCCGCCGCGCTACCCTAATGCCTGTGAAGATAACTGAAACAAATCTAAGACGACGTACCAAAACAGAGATAATTTCAATTTAAAAGAATAGACAAATCACATGCAAAGAGATTTAAGGTCACATTGCAGATCTGATTGGGAGGCGTTCACGATATTTTACACGAATAACTTTGCGTGAGGGATAGTCTCGTGGTGTGTGCAGGATAGTTCCACAGAAGTAGTTTCTCAGAAGCAGGTCCTGGGATTTACTAACGAAACTTTTTATTCTCTATATGAAATGGTCATATATTTAATTTTTTTTTATAGGATAGGGTGACAAACGAGCACACAGCCACTTGATGGTAAGTGGTGGCTGTGAACCATAGACATCTACATATATTCTCAATAAAGAATCAAAATGCAGATGCGTCGTCACCCGTGAAGACTAGGATGGAACGCCTCTTTTCCAGCAAAATGGGTCTCCGGTTCTCTACACTCAGCATACGAAACACAGCAGTGTCAAGCTGCCATTTAACGCTGATATTCTGTGAGAGCGTGGTCCTTCCCCGGTCGAGCCGACCCATTCGTGCTACAACTATACTTCTAATATAGCTGCATCATGGCTCTACTACGTAAAAATGTAGTTTCAGTAATTCATCCATCCATCTATCCATTACAGCCTATAAAAGTCCACTGTTGACCAAGGACATTTTTCGTAGTTATATACATAGAAACCGCAGCCTTTTATAATTCTGAGTTGTTATTAAGAAGGTGCTGCTGTCCATCTCTTGTTTCAGTTTACCAATGTCGCCTCTTACCACACCACGGAACGATATGGGGTAGTGGATATTCTTACAGCCACTACACGGTACAGTAATTGTCTAAATATTTATAGACTAGATTCCATTAATGTGTTCTGCGTTATTTGAATCCATGAACTGCGTTTCCGCGAGCACTCGGTAGACATAACATTATTTTTTTGCATTGAAACAAATATTATTATTCTAGTGGATGAACAGACGTTTTCGGAGAGGGTTGCATACACCGCCAGGAAGTGGCTGATGGAGCCCTGGCTTTTCCTGGCACCAGGTGAAAAGATCAATAGGAGAAAATGGCAAAACGTCAGAAATAAACGGGTAAGTTAGAATATATTAATTCATTTATTATCTGATATTATTTCTAATAAGTTATTAGTATTAAGAAAATTTTATAAACTCCCGAAAAGAATCCCACCGCAGCTAACAAAACAGATGTCGACCTTGAAACGGCTGAACCAATTTTGATAAAACATATCGAAGAACCTTCGCTAGAAAACCTGCTTTTAAATAAAAACAATGCACCCGAATCAGTTAACTTGTTGAAGAGCTACAGAGCAACAGACAGACACCCACCACACACATAGCAGTTAAACTTATAACACCCCTCTTTTTGTATAGGGCGTTCAAAAACTAATAGATCTTAGCACCCTTTCTTTCGAGGAGTTCCTCTAGGTAGGTAGCACACTTACCTATTACCACCGCCAAATAGCAGTGCTCGCACTCCTGTGTTCCGCCGTGAATGGTGTAAATTTAGAGAGTTTAATTACACGCTGTGAGGCATACTAGCTTTGTCCTCAATCATTATCTCTCCTATATTAGTAGTATCTTGTTCTTCTTGTGTTCTTCGTCTGAAACGCGTGTAAACTTATCTATATCATTCATCTTCATCATCAGCCTTGGGCAGTCCACTCCGGGATATATGTCTCTCCAAAGGCGTGCCACTGTATATCCTTGCACTTGGTAAATTATTTAGTAACTAATTTAGTTACGTGGTAGGGTCACGCTGAAGTTATATTATTGTTGTAGCACAAATGGGTCGGCTCGACCGAGGGAGGACCACGCTCTCACAGAATACCGGCGTAAAATAGCAGCCTAACACTGTTGTGTTTCGTATGGTGACTGTAGAGAACCGGAGACCCTTTTTACTGGAAAAGAGGCATTCCATCTTAATCCTCACAAGTGACAACTAATCTGCATTTTGATTTGTAATCGAGGATAGATGTAGATGTCTATGGGCCGCAGCTACCACTTACTCAGGTGGACTGTGTTCACGTTTGTCACCCATATCCTATAAAAAATAATTCATAAAGAAATACAATTCATAGAGTCAAAATTCAGGAGTCAAATTTCAAAAAAGGGATGAAAACACATCCATAGCCTTCTTTGTATGTAGTTGGCTGCAGTTGACCACGGACTACAGTAGCCACTTACCATCAGGTGGATTATAAGTTCGAGTGTCACTTCAGTTTTATAAAAACCGCCACTATTTTAAAACTTTCAAGTACAAAAATCTGCTTTAACTAACTTATTTATAACGTTTTATTATTCCAGTATTCAGCTATCCGGCTGCATGGGCTGCCTCGTCACATTCAAATTATAACCCTGGAGCCGTGGAAAGCTGGCTCGGTATTGTTGAGACTTGAAAATACCCTCGAAAAGTCAGATAAAGGTAAATGATAAGCTTTTTTTAAATATTTTGCACGTTCACTCAAGTAACTGGATCTGTAATAATGTAAAACTTAGTATATTAATATATAGAATACGCGGGCCACTCAATAAGTTTTCTGAAATTAAAAAACGTTCTGTGGTTAAAGTTTTTATCACTAAATCTATTCTTGCGACTTATGGAAAAATCCAACTGGGGGAAAAAATAATGTCACATGTGAAACGATATAAACTATTATAAATCCCAAGTTGAATTTAAAGTATGACATTGGTCCCTTGGGAGAGAGGTAAAGCCCTAGTGTGGGATGTTACTTGCGTAGACACTCTGGCGGCCTCTCATCTCAGGGGTACCTCGTTTAGAGCCGGGGCGGCATCAGAGGCAACTGAACTGAGTAAGTGGCGCAAATATGAGTCTCTGAGAGATGACTACATATTTGTGCCATTTGCTGTAGAGACAATCGGTCCGTGGGGTCCACGTGCGGTGAGGTTCCTAAAGGAACTCCATCCGCGGCTAGTCGTTGCTACTGGTGATAAGAGGGCTAGTTCGTTTTGTATAGCCATTCAATGGCGAAACGCAGCCAGCGTTCTTGGCACGATACCGCGGGGAGTAGGACTATATGATAATAAAGTTACTAGTTTTAGTTTTTTTTTTATTATAGTTTTTTTAATATTATATATACTAACTCATTCCTTATTAAATAAAAATTAATAATTATAGTTTTTAGTTCTGTATTAAAATAATTTTAGTTTTAGTTAGTTTCTTTCATTGTAATATATTAAATAAATATATATTTCATTTAACGTTACCAAGGTAACAACTCTTGTAAAAAATATAATACTTAAAAATCCATTGTCAGCAGAATTTTTCAAAACGGAAAAAGATGCTACGGAAGATTACGGACCGAGGACCACGCATATAGTAGTCGACCTGCGTAAAATATTTGGACAGCACGAGATCAAGATGGTGAAAGAGACGACGCTGGCTGCCAACCAGTGGCTGGAAGATGCTAGACAGATGGACTGGAGCACGAGGTTAGGCACTAGAAGTTTTTTAAATTATTTTGCTGAATATTTACTCTTGTTATCACACGGCGATGAATAACGTATTTCAACACACGTTCATTGCCTAACACAGGCCTTCCCCATAGATTGCCTCTTATGGGGAATTTTGCCATAGTTGCCAGGTTTGCCATGCGGATTGACAAACTCAGTTTTTAATGATAATGCTGATAATGTTTTCAATATAATTTTATTACATCGAGAAAAAGTACTTAAAATAGTAAACACTTTGCGAGAAAACTATGGATAAGTTGACAAAATCAGTTCCTGATTTTAAAACGAATCTTTTCTTTGAACTTTTAATAATTAAACTATTCTAATATCATAATTTATAATTTATACGTTTATTAAATAAAGATACAAGAAATGAAAATATTACATAGTTACTTTACACCAATTAGTATAAAGTTAAAATATTAAAAGAAGGTGCACATGAAGTATTTACTCGTAGCTACTAAAGATTAAAATTATAATTAAAGTAAACATTTCTCACGATTTAATTGTGTAAAGTTAATTGTTCTTCTAATATAATATTCCTTCATGACTTATTTTGTGTACTGAAATGGAATAACATTGCTGAAAATATTGTTAAAAGATTCGTTTTTGTGTAAGGTACATCAAATAATACTTTTCTCCGAGAACTCAATCATCATCATCATCATCATCATTGTCATCATCATTACATCCCATTGCTGAACATTGGCATCCATTGACTTCCTGCATGTCTTACCAGGTCGTCACTCCACCTAGTGGGGGGATCCCCATCTCTGACTATGAGCCTGCCACTCGGGAACTTTTCTTCCCTATCGATTCGTCGGTTCTTTGAGTTATATAGTCGGCCCATTGCCACTTCAGCTTACTAATCCTTTGGCTGGTTCTACTGCAGATATCTTCCTTTTTAAGTCTATCACGCAGAGGAACCCCGAGAATAGCCCTCTCCATAGCTCGTTGAGCGACCTTGCGCTTCCTCATACGGCCAGCAGTAAAGACCACGTCTCAGATCCATATGTCATCACTGGCAACAAGCACAAGTTGAACAATCTGGTATTCAAGTTCTCAGCCGAGTTGAATCCGTCGATTGACCTCTCGGTCGAAGTTGGACTTACCTAGTCGGACTATTTGTCCCAGGTAAACATACTCGTCAACAACTTCGACCTTGGTGCTCCCAACAACTACCGGCATAGGTGTGACATGGACGTTACACATGACTTTGTTTGTCCTTGTTCATCTTAAGACCTATCCATTGAGAGACACTATTGAGGTCATAGTGCTTCAGGTCCCCCAGCGATTCAACCATAATGACTATAGCGTCGGCAAATCGAAGGTGAGTGATGTAGTCGCAATTGACGTTATTACCGTAAACTTTCCAGTCCAGTAGCTTGCAAACGTCTTCCAATGCAGTTGTGCAGAGTTTCGGGGATATTACGTCAACCTGTCTTACACCTCTCTGCTGTTGGATAGGTTTCGTACTCTGGTTCTGTACTCGGATAGCCATCTTAGCCCTACTGTACAAATAATTCAGAACTTCGATATACCGACAGTCGACTTGGCACCGCTGAAGGGGCTGCAGCACCGCCTAAATTTCGACGGAATCAAAGGCTTTCTTGTAGTACACATACGCAAGACAAAGTGGCAGATTGTACTTTTCGGTATTCTGTAAAATTTGCTGGAGGGTATTATGTGGTCTATGGTGCTAAAGCCTTTTCTTGTTTTGGAGGTTGGAAGTCGTCGAGTCTGCGTGCGAGACGATTCGTAATGACTCAAAAACAGCACGTAAACGCGGTTCAGAGGGGAAATCGGTCTGTAGTTCTACAAGAGAGCGTTGTAGCCTTTCTTGAACAAGACCTTCTTTCTTTTATTGAACAAGACCACCGCACTTCTGCTCCACGCAAGAAAACTCAATCAAGAGCACTTAATTGAAATAGCTTGTAATAGCAAAAGGCAAATCAACGAAGTTATCAACGAATTAATATAATAATAGTTGGTCTCTCTCTAAGCGGTGCTCAGACAAAGAAATGATATTGCTAGGTGAAGGCTCATTGCTCTTGGTATATTTATAACTTAAATGCTTAAAGGATTTTCGTTGATTGACTCTATTTTGCTTAGGTGGTTTTTATATCAAGGATTCCAAACTATACAGTCATATTTTAGAATCGATCTTAAATAAATTATATAACAACACTAGGATAGAACCACGCTTAAATTCTCGTGAAAATCCAAGAACGAAGAATAGCATACGATTTGGATGTTAGGGGATGTGGTTAATATACAAGATAAATATTAATTTACTGTCTGTTTGTACACCCAGATCCTTCGATTCTCAAATTCCATTAATATTGTTTGTCCCAAAACAATATTAAAAGACAAGACTAGATTCATTAGCGCTGCTTAGAGATGTTGCATCCCTTTGCATTTTCTTTCGCATTTACCACGGGAAGTGATCTGAGGAATTGTTCGGCTTAATCCCAGCCACCAAATTTCACGAACGCACATCGCGGCAGAAGTCCCGATACATCCACACCTCTCTCCTATAAAAAAAAAACAACTTGTCTGTTAAAACTGTAAAAAGTGATAACATTGAATTTTTGAGATTAAGTATATTTTAGTATTAGTACATTAAGAGGAAAGTCGATTTAAATCATTCTGTAAAAGAGCGCAGTCAGAGGTTGGCTAAAGTATTCTAATATTTTCATGTCATCTGCGTAAAGCAGCATTTCAGAACGATGGAATATTGACTTAATATCAATACTACATAAAAAGGAGAGGACCGAGACGGGATCCCTAAGGGACACCTGAAGTTACAGGGTTGAATGAGGGGCAATAATCATTAATTGCAACAGCCTGACTTTATTCGAATAAATAAGATTCTATCCATCGTAGAAGGTCACCGCGTAACAAATTCATCATTATCATCATTACAGCCCTTCACAAGTCCACTGCTGAACATAGGCCTCCCCCAAAGAATGCCACAAAGCACGGTCCTGAGCCACCAGCATCCATCGACTTCCTGCATGTCTTACCAGGTCGTCACTCCATCTCGTGGGGGGACGCCCTACACTTCGCCTACCGGTACGAGGCTACCACTCGAGAACCTTTCTTCCCCATCGGTTGTCGGTTCTTCGAGCTATATGGCCGGCCCACTGCCACTTCAGCTTACTAATCCGTTGGGCTATGTCGGTCACTCTGGTTCTACTGCGGATATCCTCATTCCTAAGTTTATCACGCAGAGAAACTCCGAGCATAGCCCTCTCCATAGCTCGCTGAGCGACCTTGAGCTTCCTCATACGGCCAGCAGTGAAGGACCACGTCTCAGTTCCGTAAGTCATCACTGGCAACACGCACTGGTTGTACAATTTCGTTTTAAGGTTTTGAGGTATGTCTGACGAGAAGATGTGTCGTAGCTTCCCGAACGCTGCCCAGCCGAGTTGAATCCGTCGATTGACCTCTCGGTCGAAGTTGGACTTACCTAGTCGGACTATTTGTCCCAGGTAAACATACTCATCAACAACTTCGAGCTTAGTGCTCCCAACAACTACCGGCATAGGTGTGACATGGACATTAAACATGATTTTTGTTTTGTCCATGTTCATCTTAAGACCTAACCGTTGGGAAACACTATTGAGGTCATTGAGCATAGTGCTTAAGTCCTCCAGCGATTCTGCCATAAGGACTATATCGTCGGCAAATCGAAGGTGAGTGATGTACTCGCCATTGATGTTGATACCGTATCCTTTCCAGTCCAGAAGCTTGAAAACGTCTTCCAATACAGCGGTGAAGAGTTTCGGGGATATGACGTCACCCTGTCTTACACCTCTCTGCAATTGGATAGGTTTCGTACTCTGGTTCTGTACTCGGATAGCCATCGTAGCCCTACTGTACAAGCACTTCAACACTTCGATATACCGACAGTCAACTTGGCACCGCTGAAGTGACTGCAGCACCGCCCAAATTTCGACGGAATCAAAGGCTTTCTCATAGTCCACATACGCCAGGCATAGTGGCAACTTGTACTCTTCGGACTTCTGTACAACTTGCCGAAGGGTATGTATGTGGTCTATGGTGCTAAAGCCCTTTCGGAAACCGGCTTGTTCGGGAGGCTGGAAGTCGTCAAGTCTGCGCGCGAGACGATTCGTAATGACTCTCGAAAACAGCACGTAGACGCGGCTCAGAAGGGAAATCGGTCTGTAGTTCTTCAAGAGAGCGTTGTCACCTTTCTTGAAGAACAAGACCACCGCACCTCTGCTCCACTCCTCCGGTGTAATGCCACCATGGAGGACGGAATTAAAGAGCTTCTGAAGGACTTCAAGTACCGGTCTTCCACCCGCTTTCAGAAGCTCCGCTGTAATTCCATCCTCGCCTGGGGCCTTACCGTTTTTAAGGTGCTGGAGAGCCATCCTAATCTCGCTCAGACTGACATCCGGGATATCTTCGGAATAGTGTCGGATGAGACTCGCTCTTGGATCGTTACTCACACTTGCGTGTGGCTCCAACGATGCCAGCAGTGTACAGCTGCCCATAGAACCTCTCAATCTCACTCAAAATCTCAGGTGTCCCGGAAACCATGCTGCCACATTCTGTCTTCAGCTTTGACAGTTGGATCTTTCTGGCAGACAGATCTCTGGCAAAGACTTTGGAGCCTTGGTTCCGCTCGATCGCTTCTTCAATACGAGCTGTATTGAAGTTGCGTAAGTCCCGCCGCATGCATTTGGAGATCTGTCTGTTCAGATGCCTGTATGCTATCAAGTCTGTTGAAGAATGTAGCTTCATCTCCCGTCTAACAGCCATGAGATTAAGAGTGTGATCGGAGAGTTTTTGTGTTCTTCTGCGGCGGGTCTTGCAGAACTTAGCTCCGACCGCATGGACAGTTTCCACGAGCTTGTCATTCATATCGTCCACTTCATTGCAGTCTTCCAGGCACTGAAAACGGTTTTGTAACTCGAGCTGAAAGGTTTCGGGACTTTGGAACAGAGCACGAGGGGGACGGAGCGTTGACTTCATTAGACGAGACCTCTCCAACTTAACGTTTAGGTTCAGTGTGCCTCTAACCATTCGGTGATCTCTACCAGTTTTCACCCTCGCGATCACGGAGACATCACTGAGCAGTTGTCGTCTGGTCGTCATAATGAAGTCAATCTCATTTTTTGTGGAACCGTCGGGGCTCGACCAGGTCTACTTCCTGTGGGGCCGCTTCTGGAAGAAAGAGTTCATCATAAAGAGTCCCTCTTTCTCCATGAAGTCGGCCAGCTGCTGGCACCTTGGGTTCCGTTGCCCTATTCCAAATTTCCCTACTTTCAGCTCACCGTTCTCTCTTGTGCCTAGTTTTGCATTGAAGTCTCCCATTAACACCGTATATTGGGTTTTGGAGGAATGCATGGCTCTAGAGATATCCTCATACATTTCCTCCACCTCCTCATCGGGGTGTGCCGAGGTTGTTGCATAAACCTGTATGACCTTCAGCGAATACCGTTTGGTGATTCTGAGTATAAGGTACGCAACCCTCGTCGACACACTCCCGATCTTTACAACGTTGTTAACGAGAGACTTGTGGACGATAAATCCGACACCTCCTTGGGACAGATGGTCGCACTCCCGGTGATAGAGCAAGTTGCCGGATTCGAGGATTACCGTGTCCTCCCCCTCTCTTCGGACTTCGGATAATCCTATAATATGCCAGCGCAACTTGTCTATCTCTTCTTCCAGCTCCACGATCTTCTCGTCAGTCCTCAGGGTGCGTGCGTTGTACGTTGCCAGGTCGAGTCGTCTAAGGTGGCAACCGAACCTCCACCGGAGATTCTTAGCACCCCCTGCCCCGCCGTTACCATGGTTGCCACCGTAGCCAGGAATAGCGGGGCCGCCGGGGACTGGGGGCCGTTTCTTTGTTACTGTCATTCATAGGGGGGTATTTGCCATAGTTGCCACGCTTGGCGAGCGGGTTGGCAACCGCAGTTTTTTTATTGTAATTTGGCTATTATCAGGAAGATGCTGCTGCCCATCTCCTGCCTGCTTCCCTTTGTCGCCTTTTACGACACCCACGGGAGGATATGGGGTAGTGGATAATCTTGACCGCCACTACACGGCAAGCGTAACAAATTGCTCTCAGTTTATTAATTAGGATGCAGTGCCAAATTTTATCAAATACTTTCTAATAGGCTGTATACATAACATAAAGTGATGATCCACTAATCATAATGAATATTAGACATAAGATATAAAATAAATATGTATGCCTATGCATAATATAAATTCAAGGCATTAGAGTCTTTCGTCATAAATATTTTTCCTTTATATTTACTTTATACTCGTTTATTATATTTTAGCGAGTGTTGATATTTTTCGTAGACTTCATAAAAAGGAGGAGGTTTACAATAAGACTGTACGTTTTTTTTTAAGTGATATCTTCGTTAATTTTAAGCTGATTTTCATTTTTCTTTTTTTATATATGGAATACTTCAGGAATCAACCAATTTATTTTGGATATAAATTACCACTCCTAAAGGTGACATAACAGGAGATGAAGTTTTTAATATAACTTTAGACTACATTGAGATTGTGATAATCCTTAGATTTTTTATAGAATGAGGATAACAAACAAGCACGTAATCCACCTGATGATAAGTGTGGCCCGTAAACATCTACATCTATCCTCAATTAAGAATAAAAATGCAGATGCGTTGTCACCTCTGAAAACTAAGATGCTTTTTTTTCAGTGAAAGGATTCTCCGGTTCTCTACACTCACCATACAAAACACAAAAGTATTGAGCTGCTATTTTATGAATATAGTCCACTCAAAAAATACCTTTTAATAAAAGTAAAAGCCGGCTTCTTAGAACTAAAAAGAATTAAATAATTTCAAATTTGAAGTCGTTGCTTAGACATAGCGTATGAATTCTTTTTAGGTCTTTGAAGACTGTTCTTACTTTATTTAAAGTCAATTTTTACTTGGAGAAATCCACAAGGATACTTGGCTGCCGTATAGTAGTGTTGCGCGCCATAATTAATGCCTGGAACATGGCGACACTAGTTACCACTAGCGCCTTCTAGTATCGAGTAGCAGAACTAGGAGAGTCAAGATCCTTCTAGAAATTTCCATGGAAGAACTTTCTAGAACTATCGACACCTCGTCAGTCGGTACCGGTATATACTCGGACATTCTAGATGTTTCTACAGTAGAAGGTTCTGGAATTATCTGAGGCCCTATATAAGGCCGGTATAGACAGAGACCCGGGTCAGTGTAAAATTAGCGATACAACTGCGAACTAAAGTGATACAATTGTGTTTTGAGTGTAGTACAATTGTGTTTTGTTATTAATGTGGTTTTAAGTTGTAATTACTGTTCTGTAATGCTGCTCTGCAATTTTGGTAATTTACTCGGCAGTTTTTAATTGTCTCGAACGCCTAGCTCGTAACAGTAGGCAGGTGGATTATACCGGACTCCAATCGACTGAACCAGACGGCGAACTAGAACTATACCTTAGCCTCGACGAAGAGTCGTGGGATCTCGGTCTCATGACAGCAGTCGACTATGGATAATGATTAAATATTTAATAATTTTTTAGATACGTATATTCTGGTGGCGATGACGGAATCCTACCAGAAGACAATGTTGACTACACAGATGAGAAACTTGAACGATCAGAAAGAAAGGACTCAGGTAATACGTAGCTACAATACTTATGTTATGTTATGTTTTATTGCTACGCCTGGTAAATGTTACTAATTGATCATTCATTCATTCAAAGCCTTCTAAAAGTTCTTTTTTAAATATATATCTCATTGCCTCATAGGGTGGATATATTTATATATTTGCCAAAGTCGCCACGCTTGGCAGGCGGGTCGGCAACCGCAGTAATTTTTTTCTACCGCCTTCAAAAGGAGACGGTACTCAATTCGACTGTATGTTTTTTTTTATGTGTTACCTCATAACTTTTTACTGGGTGAACCGATTTCGATAATTATTTGAAAGCTGGTGCTTCACACGTGATCCCATATAAATTTGATCAAGGTCTGACCAATAGTTTTTGAGTTATTCTTAATAATTTATATTGAAGTCGGTTGTACAAAATTTTTAATTTTAAATTATTGACGTGAAAACTTCTTTAAAATCCTTGTAATTTGAAACTCGATGAAACGAAAAAGCGACACTCAAAATACACAAACATACATCTATAGGATTAAGCCTGTGACTGAATGAGATAGAATACATTATACAGTGTTTCCTATTACCTCGGTCTCAGTATAATATATAATGTAATATATGTAGAATAAAATGTAAAATAATTTTCAAACTTGGTAACAATATTATAATAAATAAACCCTACCATTATACTAATCCTGATACTCAGCATTCGTCTCAGTCTTTTTTTTATAGGATAGGGTGACAAACGAGCACACAGTCCACCTGATTGTAAGTGGTTGCTGTGGCCCATAGACATCTGCATTTATCCTCGTTTGCGAATCAAAATGCAGATGCGTTGTCACCCGTGAGGACTAAGATAGAATGCCTCTTTTCTAGTAAAAAGGGTCTCCGGTTTTCTACACTCACAATACGAAACACAGCAGTATGAAGCTGCTATTTGACGCTGGTATACTGTGAGAGCGTGGTCCTTCCCCGGTCGCGCCGACCCATTCGTGCTACAACTATACTACTAATATAGCTGCAGCATGGCTCTACCACGTAAAAAAGGCTCCCGAAGTTTAGTTTTCTGAAGGCTTTACTTCTTTGCACACTGTGAACTTCACACATTTTTTTTAGTTTAAGCTCTTATCAAGAAGATAAGACCATCGCCAGTTTCAATTTCCCTCTGTCGACTCTTACGGATGGATGTTCCACGGGATGATATTATGGCGAAGTGGATTCCTTTACGCCGCGTTAAAACTCCTACCAATACTACCTAGTGATAAGTACCAACTATTAACTATTGTGTACACTTTATGAGCTAATAATCACTTAATTACTATTTATATATATGTATTTATTCTCTACTAAATCTCAAACAATGTGTAGGAATATAAGCCAGTCTACTTGTTGGAAGTAAATACTACAAATGAGTTGGGGGGTGACTCGAACTTTAGGCCTAGTCAGTTTGCATAGCCTATCATGTAGAGGATGTCATGGGGGTCATGGTTTAGTAGGGGCAAAATGTTCTCATTACATTCCTAGGGGGTCAAATTGGCCAAAACAAAAAATTGGGGGATGGCTCGAACTTTAGGCATGGTCAGTTTGAATATCCTATCATGTAGAGGATGTCATGGGGGTCATGGTTGAATAGAGGCAAAAAGTTCTCATTACACTCTTAGGGGGTCAAAATGGCCAAAAACCAAAAAATTATAAATTCTTATTTCGGATGTAACTCTGCCTCCTTCGGAGGTTCTTACTTCTTACACAGTCTTTACTTCCCGCATCAAACTAGTATATACACTACTAAATACTACATACTACATCATGTGAATTTATATGTCACGGCTAAAAGCAAATATACCTATATTTATTTATATTTAGTTGGCTACAGCTAGATGCAGCCAAATGCGATTGTTTAAAGTTAGGTACATTAGATTTGTCTGTTAACAAATTATATAAATACCTGCGACTTTGGGGTGGCCTATAGGTCAACCCAGACGCACCTAAACCTACTATATTTTATATTAATTTACACGTGGTAGAGCCACGCAGCAGCTATATTATGGTTGTAGTATGAATGGGTTGGTTCGACCGGGTAAGGACCACGCTCTCACAGAATACCATCGTAAAAAAGAATCTAAATGCGTGTTTCTTATGGTGAGTGTAGAGAATCGAAAATCCCTTTTACTGTTAATGAAACATTCTAAGTCGTAAGGGTTGACTACGCATTTGCATTTTGATTCTAGGTCGAAGATAGATGTAGATGTCTATAGGTCACAGTATCCGCATACCATCAGGTAGACTGTGCTGGTTTGTCACTCTTATTCTATAAAAAATTATGTACTACCGTATTTTTGCCAAAGTTAAAAAAGTAATTATAACTATTATTAATAGTAATATAATAGTAATTTTAACTATTATTATTATTTTTGACTTCTCTACGCTTAGTTTTACCTGAAAGCAAACAGCCACACATAGGTTAACCATCAATAAATCTAATACACCTAAGTTTAGCCTACCGTAATTTATTTTTAATCGGCGGAACCTTGTTGTAGCCGATTAAACCTAAGTGTAAACGCACTTTTGTCGGGACATATATACACTATAATGACTGAAAAAAATTAAAGTGATTACGTTATTTTAGATTTAAGCATATAAACAATATTATTTCTATTTCAGGCTATTCGGAAGAAGATTCAGACTACGTAAGAAAAGGACCACGGCAAAAACTTAACCCCATGAACAAAGTTAAAATACCTCAGTCTCGATACAGTCAATTTGAGGACAGGCGTAAAAGATCGCTTAATATCACAGAAAATCTTATTGATAATCCTAGTGAAACTAATGCTTCCGATTTTATTACAGTTAAAAATTCCATAGAAAGCACCACAAAAGTATCTAACGCTAGCAAAATTGACTTAAGCGAAGCACTAAAATACGTGGAAGTAACAACTCAGAAAAATGTTTCGCTTCCACAAATTGACTCTAGACGCGCTAATTTAGCAATAAAATCGGATATAAATAATGATTTAGTACGCACCAGATTCAGGTCGGTGTCTAAGAAAACTCCAAAGCTAAACTTTTTCCGCGCCAAAGTAAAACCCATGAAGTTCTTCGTAGACTGGGGTAACAACTCCGAGGACTCAAGGGCTTCGGAAGAGGATTTCTCGTCAAATTTAAAGAAGAGGTCAACAAAAAGAAGGAACGGAAGTCATAGCTTGAAAAGTAATAGACGCATGGGTACGTTTGCAATTTTTTCATAATAATTCCTTAGTTGGTTATTTCATTTGTGCGGTGACAAGGAGACTGCCGTCGAGCGACTTACATTTTTTTTAATGAAAAACGTTACCCCCGCACTAGGATTTTCTCCTGTATCGTGGAGGCAGTTTACAAACACAAATGGCACAAGGACAAACATCCAGACCCGGAACAATTATTTGTAGGCTATACAAATACTTGTTCCGTGCGGGACATTACCTAATACCTATTTAGATTTTTGTGAAATATTAATTTTAAGTAACTATTAATTTTATAATGACAAAAGTGCAACCTCCGAGGCTTAGTGGTAAATATCACAGTAAGTAAGTAAGGGGTTTGATCCCACCGGCACCAATAATATTACTATTTGCATTTTTATGTAAGTGCTGATTTATAATGTACTCAGCGTTGAAGCTAAACATCGTAAGGAAAGTGTCATGTCTAAGAAATAAAAGATTTAGAAGACATGTGTTGTCCCCAACACGCATTGTGTCAGCATGGAGGACACCATACTCCACAGACTTCGAAATGAGAGGCCTGTGCCCAGCGGTGGGACGTTTAAAACTGTAACATTTTAAGACAGTAATTTCATTTATTTTTGCAGAATATTTCTCTGAAGAACCCGACGATGGCATTACTCGATCCATGTACGAAATGTATTACAAAATGAAACCGAGAGGCAATTTTAAAATACGTTCAGAACTTCCACATCCTTCACACAGTAGAAGGAGTAAAAAGAACAGAGGCAGAAAGACAAAGCATGATGAAGTAACGACGTTATTACCGGAACTTGCAACAAGGAAATCTAGAAGAAACAGAACTAAAAGGAAACAAATAAAATCTATTGTAGACTTTCCAATCTTCACGAATACCGGGAAAAAGAAGAATATACGAAATGAAAGGAGGCTAATAAATAAAGAAAGTGGCCAAGAAAAAGCTAGTGAATTAGAAGAAATTAAAATAAATACTCGACTCCACAAAGGTATCTATGTTTATAATATGTTTTAATTTGCCATTTTTATCTGTAAATATGAATAATCTGTAGCCATTTTAATGCCAGATTATTATTATCATTATCTTTACAGAGTAGAGATACACAATTCCACTGCTGAACTTAGTTAAACCTCCTTCATAAATTGCCATAAAGCAAGGTCCCGGACCACCTGCATCCTTGAATATTTGATCAGCTTCTCACTCCATTAGGTGGGGAGTTAGCCACACTGACTGTGAGGCTGATTCAAGAACCTTTCCCATTGTCCATCAACTCTTCCGACTCATTACCACTTCAGCCTACTGATTCGATGGGTTAAGCCATTACATAAATATTTTCAAATAAACCTAGCAAAAAAAAAAAAAAACTTTCGTGATAAACTCAGAAATGAGGATATCCGCAGTAGAACCAGAGTGACCGACATAGCCCAACGGATTAGTAAGCTGAAGTGGCAATGGGCCGGCCATATAGCTCGAAGAACCGACAACCGATGGGGAAGAAAGGTTCTCGAGTGGCAGCCTCGTACCGGCAGGCGAAGTGTAGGGCGTCCCCCCACTAGATGGAGTGACGACCTGGTAAGATTTGCAGGAAGTCGATGGATGCAGGTGGCTCGGGACCGTGCTTTGTGGCATTCTTTGGGGGAGGCCTATGTTCAGCAGTGGACTTTTGAAGGGCTGTAATGATGATGATGATGATGAAACCTAGCAAGCTAACAGCATAGCAAAGTGGCGAAGCAATCAGCTTTGTAGCGGTTTCTAACGGTTGCCGTAGAGCAATCAGTTTCAAAATAGGAGGTTCAGATGCCTGGGTGATCAGTAATCGTTTGCTGAAAACGGAATTTGAAAATTCAAAACCGTTCTCGAGATAATCGTGGGACAGACGGACAGACTGACGGACATCGTGAAATCAATAAGTGACTTCGCAAGCTTCGCCACTTAATAAGTATAAACAATATACAACATGTAACAAAAACACTTTGGTTCCCGTTAAGTACGTTATCAGGATCAGTAATCAAACCTATAGAAATAACTTTTTTTTAAAACTCTACCATATTATGTTTTTTATTTTATTAATTTTTTTTTAATTTTATGTGGTTTTATTACCTCTTACTGAGACCAGCCGATGCTAAAGCTAAGTAAAGCGGGGTCTTTGACAATCCTCTTACTCCCCAGACAATGCAGAGGTAATAAAACCATATACAATTTGCATACAAATATTTTTTTTAATAGAATAAAAAAATATTGTTCGAGTTTAAAAAAAAAAGTTATTTCTATAGGTTTGAATAATGATCCTGATAACGTACTTAACGGGAACCACAGGGATTTTGTTACATATTGTATAATAAGTTAACTGCAAAATAAATATCGTAAATATACATTAAATCCTTCCGGTGCGAAGGACCATATGTTCCGGTATATTCTCTTTCTCGTAAAGATTCTTTACCAGTAAAAAACAATGTATTATATTAGCATGTGTAGTAAGCCATCACGAATCGTCTCGCACGCATACTTGGCGACTTCCAGCCACCCGAACAAGCCGGTTTTCGAAAAGACTTTAGTACCATTGTAACACCGAAGAGTGCAATCTGTCACTTAGTCTTACGTATATAAAAAAACATTAAAAAAGCTTTTGGTTGCGTCGAAATTTTAGCGGTGTCAAGTCGACTGTCGGTATATTGCAGTTCTGAAGGGCTTATAGGGCTACGATAGCTATCCGAGTACGAAACCTATCCAACTACAGAGAGGTGTAAGACAGGGTGACGTTATATCGCCGAAACTCTTCACCACTGTCTGGGAAGACGTTTTCAATCTACTGGACTGGAAAGAATACGGTATTAACATCAATGACGAGTACATGTATCTCACCTTTTATTTGACGACGATATAATTCTTATGGTAGAATCACTGGAGGACTTAAGTAGGTACTATATATATATATATATATATATATATATATAGTATATATAAGTTCAACTTTGACCGAGAGATCAATCGTAGGATTCAACTCGGCTGGGCAGCGTTCGGAAGATACGACACATTTTCTTGTCAGGTATACCTTAAAACTTCAAAATAATGCTGGCCATATGACAAACTCAAAGTCGCTCAGAGAGCTATGGCGATAGAGCTATGCTCAGAGTTTCTATGCGTGACAGACTTAGAAATGAGGATATCCGCAATAGAACCAGAGTAACCGACAAAGTCGAGCGGATTAGTAAGCTGAAATGGCAATGGGCCGGCCATATAGCTCGAAGAACCGACCTCTAACCGACCTATGCAGGATGGATGCAGGTGGCTCAGGACTGTTCCCTGTGGTGTTCCTTGCGGCCTATGTTCAGCAGTGGACTTATGAAGGACTGTATTGATGATGATGATGAAAAAGCAGTGCAAGCTCGCGCTTGACATACGAAACATTGCAGGTACTGCTGTATTTTACTCTTTATTTTCCTGTAAAATTACACAAGCAGTGTAATTTTTCCCCGGTCGTATTACTGTTTGTGCTGCTACCTTAATACAGCAACAGCATGGCTCAGCCAATTTCCCTTTCCTTTCACTGGAAACGAGGCATTCCATCTTAGTCCTCACGGGTGACGACGCATCTGCATTTTGATTTGTAATCGAAGATAGATGTAGATGTCAATGGGCCACAGCAACCACTTACCATCAGGTGGACTGTGTGCTCGTTTGTCACCCTTGTCCTATAAAAAAAAATATTGTGATAAACGCAAACTTTTTGATGGTCTTTTAATTCTCCCCGAATAAAACTTTAGATACTATTTAGCAGATTTACAAGCAGACATCGCACCAAAGTCCGAGTTGGCACACCTACGAGCTAAAAGGCGTAAGGAAGAAACAATCAGTAGTTTCCAAGATGACGAAAGCGGATCCACCGGCGCTGAAGAAGAATCGGAGAACGTTGAAGAGAACAGTAGGGAATGGGAAAATAATAGGAGAAAGAGGTTAACAAATATTCTAACAATATTTTAATCTAACAATATTAAGGCTGACTTTTCACTATTCACTATGGGATATAATATATATTATGTTCCGAAATATAAATTATAGCCCGCGATTGGCTTTCACACTGTGAGATATATCTTTTAACCAGTGCTAGTGTGCATTCGTCATTGGATTAGCCCCTGTACCCCGGACGCGTATATAAAAAGTACTCTGTGCCAGACAGCCAGACACGGTTCTGCGGCGGTGCAGAACGCCGTGCGGGGCACAGGGGGCGAAATATAATATGAAAAAATCGCTCGGTCGATCGAAAAATATTTATAGTTTGAGATGAGATGTATATTATAGCTCAGTGTAAACGGTTCCATTTAAAAGTATTGTGAGCGATATTAATTTATATCTCCAGATGTAATATATATCTATTATATTATATCCCATAGTGAAAAGCGAGCTTAATAATGATTTTTTTTTAAATTGATGGTATTTTCGACGAGAGCTTAAAGTTACCATGTTTATTTTACAAATGAAATGACAATCGAACTAACAATCTACCTGACGGTGAATGGCTACTGCAGTCCATGGAACCCTGCAGTCAACTACAAACAAAGAAGGCTACAAAAATATGCCGCCACATCTGAGGACAAAGAAGAATGCATCACAGCCTGCAATTATACTGGCTTTCAATATTCTCCAAACCGGAACAAAGCTGCGCAATCACTGCTTTTTGGTGGCAGAAATAGGTAAGCGGATAGTGCAAGCACTACTTTTTGGTGGCAGAAATAGGTAAGCGGATAGTGCAAGCACTACTTTTTGGTGGCAGAAATAGGTAAGCGGATAGTGCAAGCACTACTTTTTGGTGGCAGAAATAGGTAAGCGGATAGTGCAAGCACTGCTTTTTGAAATAGGTAAGTGGATAGAACTTATCCAGACGAACTCCTGGTCAGAAAAAGAGTCCTACCACCTAATGAGATGTTGTGGCGGCGAAGAGAATCCACTAGTCCATATCAAGTGTCCATATGAGATAATCTAACGTTTACAAAAAACGTTAACCGCACACTAGGATTTTCTCTTATATCGTAAAGGCTGTTTTTAAACATATATTTCACAAGGACAAACATCCAGACCCGGAACAATTATTGGTAGGCCATACAAATATTTGTTCCGCGCGGAATCCGAACCCGCGGCCCCCAGCGCCGCAACTCTTTGCTAAGTCGTAAACAGCCGTAAATGAAGCCGTCAATTTATGTAAAACGCCTATGTTCAGTAGTAGACTTATAACGGGAATGCAGCCAATGAATGGATTAATAAATACGCGTAAGTAAACTTAATTGTGTGACATCCTCTTTCCCTCCCTTGATATATCCAAAGAGCACATGAGCTACAGCATCCTCTCACCATAAAGTGGCATGGTTTACTCTTTATTTCTAAAAATAAATTAGCAACATACGTACCTGAACTATCATGGTATATTATAAATTAAAAGGATTTACCGTAATGGCTCCTAAATGTCGTTTCCTATCACAGGTCACATAAAATGTGATACCCAATTAGCGTAGTCTTTATTCAGCCTTATTATTAAAAGAAACTATAATTCAAATGTTACAGAACTGCATCAAAGGAAGAAGAGGGCCAGGAGAGCGGTTCTGACACTCAAGAAAATGCCGAATCCGAATTCGTGGTCACATTGCGTCCCACACAAATACGCACGTTCGTCATTTGGTTCGTTGACAACCGCAAGACGTATACGTTATAATGTGTTTTAAATAAGGGGTTTTATACAACTTTAGGTTAATTTTGTACCTTTTTATATTTTTTAACCTTTTACACGAAAATGTTTTAGATGAATGAGAAATATTGAACGCTACATCATTGCAATGGACGTTAAGATATTAGGCATTCTAAAAATACAACCATGTTCGATGTATATTCTATTGAAACAACATACAACAATAAGGATTCTTTTTTATAAATTCACTGACCTTTTATTAGTACAGAACTTAAAAAATAATATTTGGACATTCCGACTGTGCCCTCCAGCGCTCATATCACGACCGTGTCTTCCGATAGGTGGTGTTGGTTGCTGATCGATATTACATTAGGGAGGAGCGAGAGTTGAGAAATATACGATGTAGACTGTCTGCATCCTTAACCTCATTTTATGAGTGACTATAGAACCTCTAACATTGCTAAGGCTTTTTTTACTCAGATACCAGTATCTCAACAAAGTTCTACGTGAAGTTTAATATTGAACTTTCTTCGCACATCACGTCGTAGCCGAAGATGTGTAGATCGGTATGCAGTGATGATGACTTACCTTCATTTATTAGTAATTTACCTTTTTATCCATTTATTAGTCGCCATGTAGTGGCGGTGTAAGAAGATACTGCATATTGCTGATAACAACCAAAAAAATATTACAAACTGCGGTTACCACCCGGCCTGACAAACGTGATAATTATAGCACCCCCCGCCCCCCCTCCCCATGAGCTCATCTACAGGCGAGGCCTATGTTCAGCACTGAACTTTTAATAGACTGTACGAAATAAATGAATAAATCAGTATGGACTATTTTTGTTTATCTACGTCCTTATTATAGTAGTGTAGTCTAGTACACCATTATCCTCTCTGAACAAGCTACAAACTTAATTTAATTAAAAAATCAATAGGGCTATAAAAAAACAAAAACGGATATATGTGATATCAGTCCACTGCTGCACTAGGCATGGACCTCACCCAGGTAAGGTTATACATAATTTTCACGTTAGTCAGACGGATTGGTGATATCCCTTGTATGTTTCCCTTCAGCACTTTATTTTTGTAATGATATTGTCCAAATTCCACTTTGTCTCCAAGGTCATTTAATAATTCATACATTTACCTTATGAAATATGGACGATAGATCACATAGGTTTATAGCTTTTATCTTCAAAATAATATATTTCAGTTTTTTTTCGGAAAAGTGTTCATGTGAAGTTGTATTATTTTCATCAACGTTAATAGCATTGCTATTTATTATTTGTCGTGAATGAAACTCTGTATGCAAATCAAAAAATATTTTATTAAATACATTTATACAAACAATGAGCAGTTTAACTAATCATTCTCCCATTTCCTATAAGCGGTTTATGCTCTACAGAGGCACTATATAATATTAAAGACGATTTATGACCAACAATTATTGTAAAGTAACAACAGGTGTCATTTTTACATAAAGTTCTCAAAACGATATGATATTTCCTCTACATTTTTGTTATTTATTTATTTTATATGCAGTACGTCAACAGTTTGAATACTTTTAAAACAGACAAAGTACCCTGGTATCATAAAAAATGTGTACGTCTGTCTGTCGAGTATTGTCCAACTTTTAAATTTTGATTTTCCTCGTCAAGTAACGCACAAAAGCAAATTTGATGCAATAGTAGAGGGGGGAATTCTAAAAACATATCAATAAATTACTGCTATATAAATACATAAATATAAGGATATTTTTGGAAATTAACTGACCGTAAAACTTATTATTACAGATCTTGAAAACGAACTAGATTCTAGTACAGTATTGTATTAGATGAAATATATTCCCACCTCTATTCTCGCCTCAAATGAAATGTTTCAAAATGGGCCAGTATGTACACTACCTCAAAAAAAAAGTGAAAATTCTGTAGAATTCGGGAAAAATACAGATAATTTATTTAAATGTATCCTACTGTCGTGGTAAACAATTGGTTTATCAATTATTTTTATCAACTTTCAACATGGCGTCTCACCATTTTAGTTACTCTGTGCTTATAGACAATGATAGTAAACCATAAAGCGACCACTGATCATAGAAAGCGAACTATTAGTTGTCACAGAAATGTTACCTGCACAGAAATAAACATGTCAATCGTCACTAGTCAATAAAAATGACAACTTACCGCCATGACGGGTTTTTGTTGTGTGTTGCAATTTCAAGTGTAATTTCTTGTGCTTTACCATCAAACAAAGCCATTATAAAATAATTGAACAGTTGAGAACTGTTTAAAATGTGTTTCCCTATTTTTGAGTAAAGTGTACAAGGACCTGGAACAGGCTCCTTACATTTTGGAACATCTCATTTGATCTTTGACTGAAGTCATACGTTTTAGTTTTGTTTCCATAGCAATACTAATTCTGTCTTACAAAAATTGGAACGTTCGCGAACAAATATTACACAATTTTAATAATTGTATATTAATAAACGGGCATCGTCATCTACAGAGCATAAACCGAATCTATCCTAAAAATACAATTGCATTAATCTGAATAGGAATGTACCAGTACATGTATATTTTGTACGTGAAACAGGTTTTAAAAATATCACCAAAATATCTACCAGCTCGAAAACAAAGCTCAAAAAAAATTCATATTTGTTAAAACAAAAAAATATATAGCTCAATTATTCTTTATCTACACGAGTCTATTATTTTTGCTTGTGTGAATTTGAATTCCTTGTTTTTATTACGGAATAAAATAATAATTATGGAAATAACAAACATTTTTTTTTATTGAATAAATTCCCTGTTCTATTAATTTAAATACATTCTCACTACCGGGACCCATACAAACAAATTAAGTTATTATAAATAAAATCCGTACTTATGAATATATTGCCACAGTGACGCATTTACAACCATTTGCAACAAGATTGTATTGTAACTTATTGTATTGTAAAACTTTTCTATAATAAATTTATATATTGTAGAAACAAAGATCGTGTACTCGTTCTAAAGAAAATAAATCCCAGATAGGAATAAAAATATGAAAGCATTATTAGCAATTATAAGTGCTTTATAAATATTATACTACAGTCTTAAACTCATTTTAAAGATATTTGTGATATAAAGTGCAAACATTGTATGTGTACAATATTCTAACATTTGGGTAGTTGACAATATCTTTAAAAAACAACATTATATAATTTGAACTAGTTACTTTCAGTAGTGTCCCAAAACTTAATTGGTTTAGCGTTTTAAAATAAATTAGATTGTAATTTTTTGAAAAAAAAAATATACAAATATACAAAAGTTTTATTTGACCACTAGAACGTCATATACTTGATATTTTTATATAATTTCTATACAAAATATTTAGTTTTAACATGGTTTTAACAGTTTCAACTAATTCAACTAACATGACTATCAAGTATCAACTACCCTATTTTCTGAATAGAGAGAAACAAGACTACCTGCATTAGATGCAAGTTACCAAGTATGTAATAGAACGTAAAAAAAAGGTAAAAACATTTACAATAAAAAGCATCTATTTTTTTTCTACTAGAGTTAAAAAGCCCGAGATCATTCAAAACGACATAAGATTTCTTCTCTTGCTCTTCTTTGCTTTATGGCTTTTCTAAATAGAATCCTGTCAAATGATTTGACAGATGACAGAATTTAATCTGACAGGCGTCAAATTAGAACACAGATTATAATAGCCTGCAAGAGCATATTTTGTATATAAAAAGAAAACTGGAATGACTGTAACATATATTTCCAATATACAATATATTTTTTTTAGATCATTTTTTTATCTAAAGAAGTTAAACAAATAAATAACTAAATAACAGGGTTAAAAGCGTATACCCGGTGAAACTTTGAGTTCCAATCAATTAGTGTAAATATTATTCGAATATACTTTCGGATAGAGTATGCTATTCGCCATCTTTGTTAATACCTGGACATAGTATCAAAAAGCTTGCGATTTTTATAAAACGCAATAAGTTTTTTTGATAGCATTACTTCGAACAACAGTTCTGATAAATGGTTTGGTGCTTACATCTACCCCTTTCAAAAGATTAACATAAACTATTATTGGTCAATTCGCTATAGTTTAGTAACTGAATGAGGTTCAGATGGAGATATTAATAGTATTTGATGATGAACATACAAGTTTCAAGCGGCCTACCATTTCGTTATCTGGTAACACAAGCAGAGTTCAACTTACATTGGCGACATATTCATAGTTCTTTAACAAACCATAAAATGTATGTAAGAATCCATACAACAGACAAACACACAAAATGATTAATATATCGATTCTGTACGCAGAGAACATTGCTACATTCTACTTGTTTTGTTATTACATACAGTATCACAGAACCTATTGTTCCATTTCTAATGCTGTGAGTTTTCGTACGAATTCGGCGCGTTGAGACGGAGTGAGTTCCTGGAAGAAATTATTAACATATATTAATCTGCACACAATAAAAATATATTTTGTTTTAATTTCAAACAAAAATGATGCTACTGATGCTTTGTCATCTCTGAGGGCTAAGGAGGAAATCCTCACAGCCTGTATACTCTATACCCCCCCACCCCTCCACAGCAGTACAAGCACTGCTATTTGATGGCAGAAATAGCCAACCTACCGAAACGGACTTTTAGGCAGAAAAGGAGTCCTATCGCCTAGTATCATTTCCTTAATAAGGTTCCTCAGATTGAAGAAGTTATGGGGGATATAACCCTACAAGGTTTGTATATAATGATTATTTTAAGTGACGGTGGAATTGATTTGGCATCACATGATGATCTGCCGTGTATAGTGCGCGCGGGGTAAGAAAATCCACAGCGACGTGTCAAAGCGTTGGTGTCGTAAGACACGGCAGAGGGTAAAGAAACTGGGGATGGGCAGCAGCATCTTACTGATAACAACTAAAAATAATAAACAACTGCGGTTGCCAACCCGCCTGCCAATCGTGGCAACAATGGAAAATATTTATTAATAAATACTTGGTGTGCAAATAAATGATTTATTTGCACACCAAGTATATAAAGGCAGTCTTAATGGAGCAAGGTATTCTCTACCAGTACATACATCCAGAGTAAGCAGAGAAGATATTGTGGGTTAAAGGGCAAACAACTATCTTAAAAATATTTATTTTCAATTAATATAACATGTAATATAACATATTATTATTACAGTATATATATATATATTAATGAGATAATGTATTAAGTCTATATTCGGCAGTGGACTTAAGAAGTTGTAATGACCGAATGGTTAAATGATAGTATAATGGTAATTGTATACGTGGTAGAGCCACGCTGCAGCTATATTAGTAGTATAGTTGTAGCACGAATAGGTCGGCTCGACCGGGGAAGGACCACGCTCTCACAGAATACCAGCCTAAAATGGCAGCTTAACACTGCTGTGTTTCGCATGGTGAGTGTAGAGAACCGGAGACCCTTTTTACTGGAAAAGAGGCGTTTCATCTTAGTCCTGACGGGTGATAACGCATCTGCATTTTTATTCGCAAACAAAGATAGATGTAGTTGTCTATGGGCCACAGCAACCACTTACCATCAGGTGGACTATGTGCTCGTTTGTCATTCTATCATATAAAAAAAATTGTATTTAATGTGAGATCGGACACGTTCAGGGCGGGGGGTTAACTGACCATGACGAGGTTGTTGCAGGCTTGCAGCACGGCGTCCTGCTTAATGGCGCGCAGGTTCCTCTCCAGCACGGAGTTCTCGTCGCCCACCTGCGACTCCAGCCAGCGGCACACGGCTTCGTTGTCGTTCTCCCACTGGTGGGACTGTTGGCCAAAAATTATCGGTTACAGTGTAGCTCAAATGTCTAATTAAATAATAATTAGTGATCATTATGATCTCTTTTTACTAGGTTGTATAGTTTTATTGTTTATATTGATATGTGTTTATATTGGTGTATATGTCCTTAATATGAGATTCGTCAAATGTGGGTTAATAATCTTACTCTCACCAGATGTGGCTAGTTGGGACCAGGAGCTAAAAGGTGAACTTATTTGATACGCGGATAGTCATACAATGTCATCATCATTGAAAAGTTGCGATTTAATTAAACTTTCTTATTGACACGCTTACTACTAATGCTTAAGATGATAACTACGTGACGCGAATAATAATAATAATAATAATAATAATATTCCACAACTATCAAACAACGCCATCTAGTCCCAAGCTAAGCAGAGCTTGTGTTATGGGTACTAGACAACTGATAAACATACTTATATATTTCTAAATACATAAATATTATAGATAATTTACACCCAGACACAGAACAAATGATCGTGCTCATCACACAAACATTTGTCCTGGGTGGGAATCGAACCCACGACCTCCGGCGTAGCAGTCAGGGTCACTAACCACTAGACCAACAGGCCAGTCATTATGTTGATGACGATTCCAAATTGAAAAGGAAAATTGGAATGATGATTCCAATTTTCCTTTTACACTTTTAACGGGCTTAGGCTTGAATCCCTCCTACGCGTACGTCGGTCGCGCGTACTAATGTACATTGTGTTCAATATAACCCCACACTACGACGCTGACGACAGCGGCGCGTAGTTTGCTGCACGCCGCGTACCGCGCGCGTCGGTCGACGGACGCGCGTGGAGTAGTGCGAGCGTGCTCACTCTATTACCGACGATCCACGCGTGCACGTATAGTTGCAATGAATATCGATACAGAACGTCTTATTTACCTAATGATGTGGAAGAGCAAAATACTGGGTAGACGTTTTCGAGGCTTTATTTCCGGATTACAATAATGAGGACGATAGTAAAAGAAGGAGATCGATAAGTAAAAGACAATGCTAATCATAATTATTATTAACATTTTATTTTACTGGCTGATCTCCTTTCCGAAATGTAATCAAATCATAATAAATAAAACAAAAAAATATATTTTTTCTTATCAACAACGTAACCGACGACTGTCCTTATTATAGCCTATTTAAAAAGTCGAAATAAACTATTTACAACTAAATTGCGCAAGTAGTCTTAATATCTGATATTGCTACCTCAAAATGGAATCTGCTTCTCTTGTGACGACGTAAATAACGAACACATCACATATTACATAACCGTTTATTCATAACGTTAATCCAAAGTAGCGGATCAGAGCGCAAACAAGCGACCTAATGACGTCGCGCGATCTGGTCGACTGGCGAGGCGAGAAAACGAGCCTTCCGAGGGCTTCCGAAGATTATCGAATAGTCAAACAGCCACATTTTTATGCATACACGAGCAGGTTTTCTTAAAATATTTTTTACACTTATTACCTATTGTTGAGCACTTTTAACTTCCGTGAACACAGCAATAATTTTACGGTGGCGGTCTTCATAATTTTGGGCCTCTTTGACGTAAACACGACTCTTTATATACAGATAAAAGACTAACAGTGAAAATTCCGGCGAGTTTGCAGCCCATAGTATAGGGCCTCCATGCGCAATCCACCTATCTTCAAATTCACTATTTATCTATAACTCACTGCACTTGATTAGTTTAATTATGTGTCAATTGTTCTTCGATTGGTAGGTTAATTTCTTACTGCAGTAAAAATTCACTTTAGTATCTTTGCGCATCAGGTAAACTTTCATTGCATAAAATGTAATATCGCACCATTTCATAATTTCATAATTTCCGCCTTTCGAATATTTTCGTTACATCATCGGTACGTAATGAGGTCACGATCAACATTGTCAGCTGCCGGCCGAGTGAGCGAGCGTAGGTATGTAACGGTAAATATAAGGGATTGGTGCGGGAAGTCGTGCGACAATGCCGAGCGACGTTTAGGAACGTGTGCGTGTATATAAATAAATATATATATATAGAGTATAAAATTAGATCTTTATGGATTACGGCATCCACTTGCCATCAGGTGAAATGTGTGCCCGTTTGTGTCACCTCTGCACCCTTATTCAATAAAAAAAAACAATTACGCCTCGTCGCATAACGTGACGTGACATCGCGCAACATCACGTCACGTGGTGTAACGTGACGTGAGGTCGTGTAACGTGACGTGAGGTCGTGTAACGTGGCGTGAGGTCGCGTGCCATGTGCTTGTGTGACCTGTGTCTCGCCGCGGTCCTCGGTGAACCAGCGGCGCAGCGTGGCGGCGGCGGCGCCCTGGTCCATGTGCGGCGCGCGCGGTGTAACGTGACGTGAGGTCGTGTAACGTGGCGTGAGGTCGCGTGCCATGTGCTTGTGTGACCTGTGTCTCGCCGCGGTCCTCGGTGAACCAGCGGCGCAGCGTGGCGGCGGCGGCGCCCTGGTCCATGTGCGGCGCGCGCGGTGTAACGTGACGTGAGGTCGTGTAACGTGGCGTGAGGTCGCGTGCCATGTGCTTGTGTGACCTGTGTCTCGCCGCGGTCCTCGGTGAACCAGCGGCGCAGCGTGGCGGCGGCGGCGCCCTGGTCCATGTGCGGCGCGCGCGGTGTAACGTGACGTGAGGTCGTGTAACGTGGCGTGAGGTCGCGTGCCATGTGCTTGTGTGACCTGTGTCTCGCCGCGGTCCTCGGTGAACCAGCGGCGCAGCGTGGCGGCGGCGGCGCCCTGGTCCATGTGCGGCGCGCGCGGTGTAACGTGACGTGAGGTCGTGTAACGTGGCGTGAGGTCGCGTGCCATGTGCTTGTGTGACCTGTGTCTCGCCGCGGTCCTCGGTGAACCAGCGGCGCAGCGTGGCGGCGGCGGCGCCCTGGTCCATGTGCGGCGCGCGCGGTGTAACGTGACGTGAGGTCGTGTAACGTGGCGTGAGGTCGCGTGCCATGTGCTTGTGTGACCTGTGTCTCGCCGCGGTCCTCGGTGAACCAGCGGCGCAGCGTGGCGGCGGCGGCGCCCTGGTCCATGTGCGGCGCGCGCGGTGTAACGTGACGTGAGGTCGTGTAACGTGGCGTGAGGTCGCGTGCCATGTGCTTGTGTGACCTGTGTCTCGCCGCGGTCCTCGGTGAACCAGCGGCGCAGCGTGGCGGCGGCGGCGCCCTGGTCCATGTGCGGCGCGCGCGGTGTAACGTGACGTGAGGTCGTGTAACGTGGCGTGAGGTCGCGTGCCATGTGCTTGTGTGACCTGTGTCTCGCCGCGGTCCTCGGTGAACCAGCGGCGCAGCGTGGCGGCGGCGGCGCCCTGGTCCATGTGCGGCGCGCGCGGTGTAACGTGACGTGAGGTCGTGTAACGTGGCGTGAGGTCGCGTGCCATGTGCTTGTGTGACCTGTGTCTCGCCGCGGTCCTCGGTGAACCAGCGGCGCAGCGTGGCGGCGGCGGCGCCCTGGTCCATGTGCGGCGCGCGCGGTGTAACGTGACGTGAGGTCGTGTAACGTGGCGTGAGGTCGCGTGCCATGTGCTTGTGTGACCTGTGTCTCGCCGCGGTCCTCGGTGAACCAGCGGCGCAGCGTGGCGGCGGCGGCGCCCTGGTCCATGTGCGGCGCGCGCGGTGTAACGTGACGTGAGGTCGTGTAACGTGGCGTGAGGTCGCGTGCCATGTGCTTGTGTGACCTGTGTCTCGCCGCGGTCCTCGGTGAACCAGCGGCGCAGCGTGGCGGCGGCGGCGCCCTGGTCCATGTGCGGCGCGCGCGGTGTAACGTGACGTGAGGTCGTGTAACGTGGCGTGAGGTCGCGTGCCATGTGCTTGTGTGACCTGTGTCTCGCCGCGGTCCTCGGTGAACCAGCGGCGCAGCGTGGCGGCGGCGGCGCCCTGGTCCATGTGCGGCGCGCGCGGTGTAACGTGACGTGAGGTCGTGTAACGTGGCGTGAGGTCGCGTGCCATGTGCTTGTGTGACCTGTGTCTCGCCGCGGTCCTCGGTGAACCAGCGGCGCAGCGTGGCGGCGGCGGCGCCCTGGTCCATGTGCGGCGCGCGCGGTGTAACGTGACGTGAGGTCGTGTAACGTGGCGTGAGGTCGCGTGCCATGTGCTTGTGTGACCTGTGTCTCGCCGCGGTCCTCGGTGAACCAGCGGCGCAGCGTGGCGGCGGCGGCGCCCTGGTCCATGTGCGGCGCGCGCGGTGTAACGTGACGTGAGGTCGTGTAACGTGGCGTGAGGTCGCGTGCCATGTGCTTGTGTGACCTGTGTCTCGCCGCGGTCCTCGGTGAACCAGCGGCGCAGCGTGGCGGCGGCGGCGCCCTGGTCCATGTGCGGCGCGCGCGGTGTAACGTGACGTGAGGTCGTGTAACGTGGCGTGAGGTCGCGTGCCATGTGCTTGTGTGACCTGTGTCTCGCCGCGGTCCTCGGTGAACCAGCGGCGCAGCGTGGCGGCGGCGGCGCCCTGGTCCATGTGCGGCGCGCGCGGTGTAACGTGACGTGAGGTCGTGTAACGTGGCGTGAGGTCGCGTGCCATGTGCTTGTGTGACCTGTGTCTCGCCGCGGTCCTCGGTGAACCAGCGGCGCAGCGTGGCGGCGGCGGCGCCCTGGTCCATGTGCGGCGCGCGCGGTGTAACGTGACGTGAGGTCGTGTAACGTGGCGTGAGGTCGCGTGCCATGTGCTTGTGTGACCTGTGTCTCGCCGCGGTCCTCGGTGAACCAGCGGCGCAGCGTGGCGGCGGCGGCGCCCTGGTCCATGTGCGGCGCGCGCGGTGTAACGTGACGTGAGGTCGTGTAACGTGGCGTGAGGTCGCGTGCCATGTGCTTGTGTGACCTGTGTCTCGCCGCGGTCCTCGGTGAACCAGCGGCGCAGCGTGGCGGCGGCGGCGCCCTGGTCCATGTGCGGCGCGCGCGGTGTAACGTGACGTGAGGTCGTGTAACGTGGCGTGAGGTCGCGTGCCATGTGCTTGTGTGACCTGTGTC